CTCAAATTTTGAATATCGCTAGGAATTTTATTGTAAAAGCGTATACATTGACATCTAAACGAACTACTTATTTTCTGAAGCCTGGAGGCAGGCACAACATATTTGTTTTTCCCCCTCGTGTTGATATTATGGATATCACCATATTTCTTAAATTGATCGCCAAGCTTGCTCAAGGTGGATTGGCGATTTCAAACTTATATATAAATAATAAATCCAGGTTTCCTCACGATGTTTCCTTCAACTTATGTCAGTGGTATTTAAATAATCATACAAAGGAAAAGGAAATATAATTCGGAAAAAGTCACATTTCTCACACACCCTCACGCGGGAGAAGCGGACGCCTTAACCTCTAGGCCGCCACGACATAATAATAATAATAAATATAGACATTTAAATGCGTTTATTAGCAGCACATAAAATATACATAGTTCTTTAACAGTGACCCAACTCAAATAAAAAACATTGATGCTACCGCAAATACATAAATATAAATACTGTAATCAGTTAAGAAATATATCAAAATTGTCTATGCTTTTGACGCCAATTACTGGTAATTTTCATTCAATAGTATGCTACTGTGGCAACAATAAATTCGATATTTCAACTGTTGCATAAACAACCGAAAAAGATCTTACACTACACTAACGCCATCTATCGGTCGCAAAATCGCCCAATTCTTCCGAATAAAAATATTTATGTTTTGTTTTCAGGCCTCGATTAGGCCCTGCCCTACAACGAGTGGTAGGTACAGGAGTCCTATGGGGTATCCTAGGCGGCATTAACGCATGGTTACGCTTACACCATAAGGCCAACGATTCCAACCGTGATCTCTTACTGTCAGAAGTACCGCTGTCTTTGTTGGACAGCGCCATCTGTTGGTGGGTATTCGTATCACTTGCACACACGATGAGGACTCTGCAGTTACGGAGGTGAGTTCTTACAATCTATATTTTTTTTTAAGTAAACTTGAATCTACGGCCTGCTGACTGAGGAAGTGCGAAGACTGGTCTTCAACTAATTCTGCATTGTCTAAATCGCTTGTTTATCCTCTTTGCAATTAATTATTATTAATTGAAACACAGATGTTTCTATATGTACCTTTTTGTTAAAAGTCTTACACCCGGTTTCTGAAAGGCTTGTTAACGCTAAAATTAACTCCTGTTAAATCTCTTGTCAAGTCATCTGATTGGTTGATTTTAACATTGATCGGCCTTTCGGAAACCGGGTGTAAGAGAGTGAATTTATTTATTTTGTGTGCGATAACCAAGATTCTGTATGAATGGTTCGGCTCGATCTGAGTAACACAACGGCGTCACAGAAAACCGGCGTGAAACAACTTCAGGGTTGTGTTTCGCCGTGTGAGTGAGGATACCACGGTCCCAATCTTTAAATGTCAGAATCTCTTGTCCCTAAAACGCCGGCAAAGCACTTGTAACTCCTTCCATGACGGTATGTCCATGGGTGGCGACGATTGCTTACCATCAGGTAATCCGACCGACCTATCCCATAAAAAAATATGAATTCGATGTTGTTGTAATAATAATAATAATAACTTGACCGTACTTCCGGGATTGCTCTGATAGCCGTGGGATGCCTCTCCTTCCCCAAGCAGCTCAACGTATGTTGCCTCCGTGTCGCTACATGCTAGCGGCCGTTTTCGGGGGCCCATTAATTGAGTTTGCCAGTCACCCCCTGCCTGTTTATCCGTATGTATCAATATTGGTCAGGGGCAGGGGCCATAGTAGTTCCATAGTTATCATATTCACCAGTCCATAGCAACTCATACCCATAACCCTTTGAATTATTACCACATTTCGCAATAGTCCTGCATCAACCGGGGATTATCCTTGGGTGCTCTTTCATAGTGCATACAGGGATAATTGCCGGCTGATGTCCCATTTCACTTATATTAAAGTTGTTCAACGGGCCTCTGCGAGTTGGCTTCGGCCCCTCGTACGCCTTCCAAAGGTCCGGGATCCTGTGATCCCGTGAACGGAAACGAACATACATATAATAATAATAAAATCTTTGTTTCAGAAACAACATAAAGTTGTCGTTGTACAGACATTTCACGAACACGCTGATATTCGCGGTGATATCATCCGTCGTGTTCATGTTGTACTCTATCAAGTCTTACCGAGTGCTTCCCTGTATTACTGTAAGTTACTATTTTCGTTTTGTTCTTACATAGGAATTCGTCATGTATCGGTGCGAATGTGTAGGTAGACTGTAATATGAATAAATAATTGGATTTTGGTTACTTGACTTTAATATCACAGTACACAGTCTGGCAGCTCACTGCACCAGAGTTACATTGTCAATGGTCAGCAGTATGTTGCCAATAAAATTAAAAAAAATCTTGAAAGTGCGTAAAATCGACATCGAAGCAAGCAGAGCCGCGGGCGACAGCTTGTATAAAAAAGTATTCATTTGAAATTGCAAGGTTGGTAGTTGAAGTGGAGTTGTTTATTAAAAAAGTTCAGTATTACTAGATAGTGCTGTTTATTCTCTATATCTCTCTTACGAAACCCTTGGACAGGGTAGGGACTGATAACTATGTATTAGAGATTTCCAATAATACTTAGTATGAAATAGCTGACGATGATATATTTTCTGTCACAGGAATGGAAAGAAGTATGGATGGACGAGGCGTACTGGCACATGTTGTTCGCGAGCGTGCTGACCGTCATCATGATCCTGTGGCGGCCCACCAACAACAACCAGAGATACGCATTCACGCCGCTACTCGACAACGCTGATGACGACGAAGGTATCTTGAAAACAATCTCATTTTAAAAGTAAACTCTATCTTATGTGCGTTTTAGTACAATGGGGATTCATATTTAAATGAGGAACCTCAGCCTCAGCCTAGAGCAGAAGAAGGAACGGGAGGGTTTTTAGTCAGTAAGAGTATGACACTCCTTCCCCACCCTGGACGAGAGAAGTCATTTGATGATTTTCCTTTCACAAAAGTGTTTATATTTGTTTCCATATAAAAATAAAATTACATAATATGTAACTACTTCAATAATTACGTAATTATTTTTTTAGATTTAGATAAGTACGCTGCATGTGAGTACTAAGTTAAGGATTGGGAAGGGATGGAGGGAGGCGCAATGTAACGCTATGGTTATTTTACACTGGTTTTCAGTGAGGCCGTGGTATCACTCCGGTCGCATCGACCCATTCGTGCCGAAGCTTGGCTCTCCCACGCTAATTTACAAAAGTCAATGACCTAGACAAAAACTAAAATAATCCACCACAAAAACCAAACAATTATATTGTATTTCTATCGTTACTAAACCCAATTTTTCTCCCAAAACAGAAGAGGAAGAACAATTTGTGAACGACGCGTATGGCGTTAAAATGCGTGGCACGAATTCTACGACCGACTCAGCTGAGGCAAGAGATGCACAGGAACAAAACAACTCGCTAGACTCGGACCTACGCTGGGTAGAAGAAAACATTCCTACTAGCACACTGCCACTACTCGATTCCGACGAAGAAATCATTAATACAAAGTTTGAAGTGTCCAAAATGCAGTAATTACTTAAGTCAAGTGTATAAAGTATTATGTAACTGTGATATGTGTTTTTGTTGCTCTATCAACCCATGCTGTTAGCTGATTACTTGCCGAACATTTCCAACCACTTTTTATAATTCCGTTGCTCTAGGAAATTGATAGTCTCATAAATTATTGAAACTTAGAATAGGGTAAACTTAACATGGTGTAACAGGATACAAGAAAGTCCAGATTATTGATAAGACCATCAGAAAAAAGAAATTAAAAAATACTTTTAGTTGTTTCTAATACACACTCTTCAGTCCCTACAGGCGAGCACTATTTTCTGTTACACTGTGTACTTATAGGTTTTTAACTGTGTCTCGGTCTGATTGTCTAGTGCGAGTTTACCATACTATGAAGCGATCGACTCGTACGTGCTGGGGGCCTACCTCTGTGCTCTGATTGGCCTGCAGCAAGAGGAGATGTTCCGATCGCGTTAAAATTTCGCAGTAGGCACTCGGACAGTCAAGTTGTGTCTATTCTAAATTGAAATTTTAACAAAGATTAATTATTATAATATATTTGCACCTAGATATTGAAGCTATCCAATCAGTTACTCTCAGCAATGAAACTGAAATAATTTCGCAAAAGAACATATCATTTTTCTATAAGACTAAAAAATCTCCAAAATTATTAAAGCTCTATTTTATTGGAACACCATGGCCACACAACAGGCTGCGCAGCCGCCAAAATATATACTGTAAGTACTGTAGTATGGGCCATCTAACACTGTGGAAACTCTTAGTTGCGCAACCAAGTAGTTGTTAGCAACTAAATCAACCTTCTTGTTTTGGTGTCTCCTGCTTCGTAGATGCAGATTACTCGGTTGCCAGAAAGGTTGTGTGACCAGTGTCATAGTAAAATTATTATTTATTGAAATTTTTAATTATGTTTTTTCATTAATTATTTTGCAATTAGGTACTTTTGTAGCCAAACTATTCCTTATAATAAAATCCACTAATGTTAAGATGGGCTACCTCAAAAAAAACTGGGAGATATAATTACTTTAGATGTAATTTAATACCTATCTTAATTATAATAAAAAACAAAATAATAGCTTTAAAACTTTTATTTATACATACACATTTAAATATATTTGTTCTTTAGACACGATCTTTGGTATATAAAATATAATATTGGTATATGGCCACATTACATTAGGTTAAAATGGAAGTTAATAGAATTCAGTCGATACAGCATAAATGGAAAGTCAGTAATACATTTTAACAATAATTTAATATTTAAGAAACTATAGTCTATAATTAAAATACTTTGTGCTTTCTTACAAATGTAATGGAAAACATTTTATGGAAATCGTCGTGAGATAGATTTGTCTTTTCATTTTATCATGAGTTTTGTTGAGTTATTCAAGCGACCCGAAAAATAATTCATTTTCTTTATAAGAATTAAAGAGATTAAAACTGAAATAAAGTAAATATAAATATCCTGAAGCATGGTCAGCTACACTGGTTGACTACTAATTATTCCAATATTATGTATAATATAAACTTCTTTATATTTTCTATTTAAATGATATTCACATTCACATTTCGTTTCTTACACAGGTAGGTAGCACTATTAGTAACTCAACAACTCCGTATATAAATCTCGTTAATATTCAGATGACGATGTCGCGTCGCCCCGCGGAAGTAGGTAGGTACCTACCAACCGTGATGCACCTATACAAAATAACGATTCCTAATTTGGTATCTTATTCGATTAACTTATAAAATATACTTTTTTACTCACTAGAATGTAATATAGGTACTGGAAGAAAGCAATTTTTCATTTAGTTACATTCTCGTAAATAAGTCTTACATCGCTCTTAATAATAATAATTTTCGCTACATATCATTATAATATGATACTGCCAAATGGTATCTTCACTATTTATTCGTCGCATAAAATATTCATATGACGCCTTCACCTCTTGCATAAACAAAATGGTAAGCTGGTTTGCAAATAAAATAGAGTTCAATTTAATTATTATCATAATAAAAGTCGTAATCTTCTGGCTCATCTGGTATTTGAGGCGGGTCCTTAGGAATGTCAATACCTTCTGCATCAAGTAATCTAACCTTTATGTCCATGGACAATAAAGTTTCCAAATCATTTTCAAATGATTTGCTCGACATCTTTTCTTTTAGCAGGGCATTTATACCATCGGTCCAGTAATCAAATATCTGTTCATCAGGTGCAACAAAGTCTAATGAAGTTACTTCAGCAGATTTGATGATCAATGAAAATGCTAAATGTGGTGTTATCTTCCTCCCCCTCAAATCCTTCATATGAGGACAATCTTTGCCTGTGATTACACATTTTATGTCAGTGACAGGCAACTTGTTGCCAAGTTCCTCTAAACTGGGAGTGCTCTTTTCATCACAATCCCCATAGTGCAGTACTTTATGATTTGGTGAGAGGCGAACAAACCAGAATTTGTCTTTGATTCTTTGCCCTCTGGCAGAATATTTCTTAAACCTTGTGCCCCCCACTAAAACCCCTAACCTTTGTTGTTGAATGAGATCAATGATTTCAGGAGTTATCTTCTCCTTGAGTTCAACTATGGGCCTTGCATGAGACTCCCACACCTCTCTGTTATTTCTCTCTTGCTGCCATAACTGTGTTATTTCTGTATAAGTCAGTTGATTTATCTTCTGTCTGAACTTGTCAAAACCTTTAGGGGAAGAGGACAGTGCCCTGCTTATCTGTTCCCGAACCACACTTGATACTTTGATAAAGTCCTCTGCTGTAGCCCTCATTTCTTTCCAGGTCTTATTCAATAATACTATGCAAATACAGAATAATTCTTCAAAAGGTCTATCATGAGTGAAGAATAGTGGATGGTATGTTTGGCCTTGTTCACTGGGAGGATCCCCAACCTTCAGAATATCACAGAGTAGCTTCACAAGTTCTACACTTGTCTTGCCAAACGGACATTCATGTTCATCAGCCCTACAACTGTTTTCTAATACAATTTTTGTGTAATCCTCAGAATAGTTCCTTGCAAAATATAGCATGCAGTCCAAGGCTAGAACACCTGGCGGAACTTCATTAAAATCTTTGATTGGATCAATCTCACACTTGAAGCCAAGTTTCTTGAAGTCTTTTGAATATGTGCCTGGACGTCTCATGGTGACCTCTATGTTTGGATTGTTATCATTTTCGAATGCAACTTTTCTAAGTTCCTTAATTTTCTCTTGTGACTCTTGTTCTTGGGCATCAGCCCTTTGTCTCATTTTAGGTTCCAATAAACCAAGCATTAAGGTCTGCAGTACATACAGCTGGTGAGCCAACTCAGTACCTAACCCCTGTTCAGCATTCTTGGAAAATTCACTTGCACCAATGAGGTTTTCATATATTACAGATCTAACTTGCTTGGAAGACAATGTAGCAGCAATGGTTTTTCTCTTTGTCATATCAGCTTTAGAAAATATGGCATTAATAAGTGCTATAGCATTCTGTTGGATAATACTGTCTTGGTGAGTATTCTGTAGGTGTGATATCAGACTTGGGATAGTAATCTCTTTCTCTACATGAGAATTCTTTGAACTATTAAGTACAATATTCTCAAGAATTGACAAACAACACTGAATAACTTTAGGATCCTGAGTATTTGCTTGGTTGCTAACAAAGCTGGCCACTTTATTTATAAACTGATTCTCAAGTATGTCCCAGAATATAATTCCATGATCCATTAGCTCCACAAAGGTAATCAAGGCGTATTTAAGCAATTTTCCTTTGAATTTACCATTTTCTATATTATTTATGATCAATGTTAAACCTTTTTTGTTAATAAATTCAAGAGCAAATGTGAGATCACTGCTTAAAACAGACAACTTAGAGAGGGCAGCGACTTGATCGGCCTCGGACCCATTGTTTATCTTGCCCAGGATATCCTGCACGGTTTTCGCTGGCGACAATTCCAATCGTAAAACAGATCCATTTTTAATTTCATTTCGATTTTTTTCCGTAATATAATTTTGATTGTTACTTTCAGAAAATTGTAGAGCATAGTTTTCAGGGTCGGGGAGACCCCAAGGTTTGCATAGAAGTTGTATGATGCTCGATAGAGGCTGACTTTGATCGAATTCTATCAACTGTGGTACCTTATCGGGAGCATTGAGCATCTCCACAGCGATCTTGAGGATTGTAGAATCCTTTTCCTTTGTTGCCGACGGCATTTTTATTGGTTTAGTAGACATTTATTGAACATTTGACACGAAGACAATCACCACAACACCACACCTCGCGAATTTACGCCTTATTTATTTTCCCGTAAGTTGACGACATCAAGCTGTTATTGTCAAAAATAAAGCTGTCATATTTTTACTTTCTACGTTTCGTTCCTCCCTTTAGACGTGTACCTATTTCAAGAATTAAAGTATGGTAAATATCATCAAAATACCGGTATATTTTATTTAATGGTGCAATTAGTCTATAAATGATATATGAAAAAAAAAATGCTTAATTTTTTTTACTACCACGGTGTCGATAATTCGTTGCTACTCTTTTTTTAGATAACTTTTTCGGGAATTCATCCACTACACTAACCATGCAAATACTTTACACTTATGCAAATAAATGTCATTCTATTCTATTCTATTCTATAGAGTCCAACACCAAAATTTAACTTCAACAGCTTGTAATTTTGTATTACCTACTTGATTCCAGTACCTAACTCTTATGTGAATAGCCACATCTGTATCATCTACATGAATAAAGTTGGTACATATACAGAAAACCTTCAAGACAAATAATGTTTTAATCAAACTAATTAGGGCAGCAATGCGATCTATGTTGATATCTGATATTACAATGAAACTGTTACTTATTGCCCTAGTATTTAACGCCTTTGTTAAGCTCAATTCGTTTATTTATTTCGATAAGATCGTTGTGGGTACTAGGACGTTTTTAAACAATGACGTTAATATTTTATGTGTTCAATTGTTTTCTAATACTTAGACTCGCATCTGGTTTTCGATGTGATCGAAGACCTTATGGCTCTAATACGCAGCCTTCAGAGCCCGACGGTCGCTTTAAGCTGGAAATCGTAGGCGTTGATAACAATGCTTATATTCCTGAACAGCTTTATACAGGTAAATCAAATAGATTAATCTAAATTACCTATTTTAAAAAAATAAGCCGTTAGCGATCGAATGTAAAAAAAATATATGCTTGGTCCCCGAATACTAGTCCACATTTTACCTACTTAAGTAAAAAAGCCTAAAATGCATTTCAGTTCAAATAACGGAAACCGATGGGCAGTCGCACTTCACTAGTTTCATGATATCAGCGGAGGGCGATATCAAACCAGACCCTAAGAACCCCAGGCGATTAATATCGATGTATCCAGGTGAACTGAGACCTCAAACAACCACCACAGCTAAATATAGCGACCGGTGTTTGTATTCTGTTGAACAGGCTATGGCTTCCTACAAAACTTCGGTTTCGGTAAGTTCTTCAAAGCGGTTTAAGACAAAACCCTGATAATTTAATTTTTGTCAGAGTTTGCTGGGAACTGGCTGCAAGTGGTAAGTTGGCATTCCACGTTTGTTCATGCTGAACAAAGGAGGCCTTTGTTCAGCGTTGGATGTTTCCGGATGATGATGATGGTAACTTTACCCTGCCTTCCAAAGATAGATTGAAGCATAGGTAATATTATGACTTGGTCCACAGCCGCCATTTTTGAAATTACCAATCGATTTTTAATCATCGTTTTAACAGCATATACAGGAAATATGCACTATGTTTCCTGTCCATATCCACATTATCCACAATTTCAGTAATTTTGATTCAAAAATCTGCAAACAGGTGTACTGGCAAGCTCCTTCATCAGGGAATGGCTGTGTCACTCTACGCGCAATGGTTGCTATTAACGACGAGGTATGGTATGAAGATGGGGTTCCTTTGACGCAGAAAGTGTGTGAGGATCTGAGGCAGCCGGATGATGTGGCACCACAACTGAACCTCGAGTGCGGGATCTGTGATGAAGCTAAATATGAGGTGAGGAGTGTTTAAAGATCTGCTCGTGAAGGAATATGGCTTGGATTTTTTTGAGATATTTTGTCAGCAAACTTTACATGCTATAATATTTATAATACAGCTAACCTTCACCGGAATATGGTCACGAAACACTCATCCATACTTATACCCTGAAAACGACTGGCTGCCAAGATACAGTGATCTGGTCGGAGCATCTCATAACGCCGACTATATCTTGTGGATGCCGGGAAATCTGGCTTCAGAAGGATTTAGAGATCTGGCTGAACACGCAAACTCCAGCGTCCTAGAAGCTGAGATCCGCGGAAAGGTATAAAACTAACAAAGACGAATATTTTTATTGATAACAAGTTGATCTTTGGTCAACGCTAAATAAGGAAACCTGTAGGCCTACCATGGCGTGTTGTTGCGTGAATCTTCCGTGCGAGTAAGAGGGATGGAGCTATACACGTTTTATAGCTCCATTCCTCTTTCTCACGTCATGGTAGGCCCTCTATGCTATCTAAACCATTGTAAAACTCCACATAAAATCGATGGTGTTTTCGCAGATCGGAGATGGAGTAAGAACTCTAATAAAAGGAAAGGGCCATGGGTACCGTAAGATGTTCCTCCCAACGTACTCCTTCTTCCGCGTCGACAAAGAGAACCACCTGTTCTCGGCAGTGGTTGCTTTTACTCCTTCGCCCGACTGGTTCCTAGGAGTAACCAGGTTTGAACTCTGCCAAGAAGACAACACATGGCTGAAAGAAAGGGAGCTTAATCTCTTTCCTTGGGATGCTGGTACTGACAGTGGCGTGTCTTATGAAGTATGTTATTTACTATTAAGACTATGAGTATGATTCTAAGATGGATTATTGTAAAGTACCTAATACCTACTGGTTTCTTTTTTCAGTCTCCTAATATCGTGACATACCCTCAAGATTCCATATCTCGTGTAGAAATGAGTTCGTATGACAAAAATTCGCCGTTCTACGAAGTGGATATGAAGGACATGCATCCATTTGGCAAGTTTCACATCAAGCTGATCAGAACTTACCACAGAGACTGCGAGGAAGAAAGTACAGGTACCTACCTACCCATGTCAAAATTCTGTTTATAAGCTCTTTTCTTTTTATTTACCTTGTTTAATAAAATCTCTGAATACAAAAAAAACAATATTGGTTTCCTTCTACAAAGAGATATTAATCTGCGCACAATTACAAGGTTTTCACGGCACACTCCTCAGTACTTTAATTAAGAGTTACATTACTATAAAACGTACACTACTAATGGGCAGAGGTGTCACACACACTACATCAGTTATGAACTCTGGGTACCTACACTTCATGTAAAATATTAAGCTAAACCTCCTGATATATTTTATTTCACTATTTGTAGAAGAAACACCAGCGACTGAAGCACCGAAAACATCGGAAGAAGAACCAGCTGAGACGAGTGAGGAGGCTAAACCGGAGCCTCCAGAGCCATCCAGGTATCAAACACAACTAGATAGCGCCGAGGACGGGCGGTGAGGCTTAGTTGATGATTTGTAGAATACAAGTAGAATAGCACATTACATTTGTCATAGATCAAACTTAACGAACCTATGCTAATCATAATGGTTGCTCACGTTTTGGTCTACCGCATTTCATCTCATTTCGTTGATTTTACTAATTAAATTACATCCATAAAATGTTAAATCGCAAATGCGCATTAATTTATTAAACTCAGATGGTCATAAAAATCACTCATCGCCATTTGTTTTTGTCTACCATTTGTCGACTAGGCATATTGACGAATTTTGACAAAACTCAGTAAAAAGTAGGTATGCTTATAATTATGTATGTCACAGCGAATCTCCACTAGTGACTGAAGCCGAAATCGTGACCGTGGCTCCAGAAAACTGCCCCATGTCGAAATGGCAGGAATGGAGTGCGTGTGATGGGGAATGTGAAGATGGAAAAGTTGTAGGCATTCGATGGAGAGAGCGATATCATCTGGTGGATGGAATCCCCGTTGAGAAGTACGATCCTCATGTAAGTATGTATTTACTGCTACAAAATTTCTATAAAGTGGACTCAATGCTATGAGCAATATGGTCATCCTTTTTTAATCAAACCTTTGGGTGATGTCAAGACAAACGAATGGTAGGTGCACGAACCAAGCATAGTCAACCTTTTTTGACAACTATTATCTTAGTTCATAACTAATTAACACCGTTCTCTGGTCGGAAACATTTCAGCTTATCTTCGAGTACCTAAATTAATATGAATCGCCCTAATTATTATTGATAGTATACTCTCACAGGACCGGCAATACTCGTAGATTCTTATGTTGGGCAAAGGCGTATCTAGATATTATAATTGATCTAACTTTTTAATCACTTATAAGATAGAACTTGTTTAATGGTATAGGTCGGCAAACGAGCAGGCGGATAACCTGATGGTAAGAAATCAGCGCCGCCCATAAATGGGGACTATACGAAATGGGTCACCCGCAACACCAAAGCGAGTGCGTTGCACGCCTTTTAGGGATAAGGATTTCGGATATGTAAGGATTAGAAAGGGATAGGGGGAGGAGGAGGGATTAGGCTTCTGGTAACCTCACTCACACGGTGAAACACGCTGTGGTTGGTATTCTGTAAAGCCGTATCACTCCATTTGAGCCAACTCTTTCGTGCCGAAGCTTGGCTCTCCCATACTTAGAACTAATCACGTAGGTAAACACTATTTTCTTGAAGAATATCTTTGTCATACAGGCTAGGCATCATCCCAGAAAGGAAGTGTCGAAGTACTGCAAGGCTCATGTAGCAACGTTCGAGAAGGAGGCTTGCGAAGATGAGTGCACAATTTCAGAAGAAGAGGACGATCTCACAGGTCTATAATAAATACCTAAAAACTTCTAAGATTGAATTGATCGAATTATTCATTTTAGGATCTCTAAGAATCAGGTTTAGAGATCCACAATTCCTACATAGAATTCGTTACTCATCCACGTTTTTCCGAAACGTCTAGCTAGCTTAATTTAATTGAAATAACGACGAAAAAACGACGACCGACGGCCGCTGGGGCAGAAAGGTTCTCGAGTGGAGGCCACGTACCGGCAAGCGCAGCGTAGGACGTCCACCCGCAAGGTGGACGGACGACCTGAATAAGGTCGCAGGAAGCCGCTGGATGCAGGTCGCTTCCAACCGGCCTATCTGGAAGTCAATGGGGGAGGCCTATGTTCAGCAGTGGACGTCCTATGGCTGATATGATGATGATGATGATGATGATGAACGACTTAATCATTTAACTGAGCAAAACTCTACTACCTTCAAGTCACAACGGGACCACAGATGAGACTCTTATTCTATATTATCTTAAGAGTTTTAAGTCGTTAGTTTCATTTAAACTAGTACCGACTACTCACGATGTAACTATTAAAACAACTAGCTTGCTAATGTTACCTAATGGTATGTTTTTTTTTGTCATGGGAGAATGACCTATTGATATGTTGAAGTTATTAAAGAGTGTAGTCCTATCGAGATCTAAAACAGTCTTCATTGTTGTTTCACAGTTGAACGCAGAATCATGGCACCAGTATTGCCCGGAGGAAAATGGCATTCAAATCGAAGAGACTTGAAGATGAAAAACAATGTCTACACATACAGTACCAATTAAAGTCGTAGCAAAGTAAAAACTTATAATGCTAAATACAATATCGATGCTTAAGACTATTAAAATATCGTCATTTTTATATTTAATTTGTGAGCAACACTTTTGTAACTGTTCTGATGGTAATTGCTTACCATCAGGAGATCCGTCTTCTCCTTTGCTGTTTTTGTAAGGATAATAAATATTTTATTTAAATTAATTGACTTTGATTTTCCCAAGATCTATCTGCATACTAAGTTGGCTTTAAACTGAGCGATCATAACCTATCATTTCATTTTCTTTGCCTCCTCAAATAGCACTCCACTAGCTGTTATGCTTCAGCTAGGGTTGAGGGTGCAACCGTGAAGCAGCCCCGGGCTGGAGCTGGAGAAGTAACGGGGTTATTAAGTCCGTAAGAGTCTGACACTGCCTCCCATCCCACCCAGGGTAAGGGAAGTCATTTGATGATTTGACACCCTGAAAATAAAATAAACTAAACTATCTGTTATGCTACTTTTGCCTCGTGATCTCCGCTCCAGACTTCGTGTTACATCAACAGTTAGTTCCGCGTTAAATGTGGTCGGCCCACAGCCACTTCAGCTTTGCTAGGTTCATCATTATGTTTCATCACTTTAGATTGGGGCACAGACAGGGCTAAAACAATGAAATAGGAAACCGTGATCCTGTTCTCTAAATTCCTTGTCCTCAATGCAAATGCACGAGTATCGACGCAATACAATATACTACTTATTAACCCTTCCACTTGTTCCTAGAACAATCTCGTTAAAAATAAATAGTTATTGTAACTTTGGTATAAAAATATCATCCTTTTGCGTCACAATTTCGGTGTGTGGACTTTATGTAGATGGTTTAAAGGACCATTATCTTCTGGCAGCGAATTTTCAGGGCGTTAATTAGTGTAAATTACGCGGGAGATGCAACAGGACCATTATACTAATTTGTGGATGAATGGTTTAGTAACACGACGACCTGTGACCATATGACACCTACTTTGAGTTTATTTACGAAAGGAATAAGGTGAAAATGGTTTTTTCTGGTGAGTTTTTATTTTGTTTTTCACCATACACCTGAATCACGACCCCCCCCTTTTTAAATCGATTAAGTATAGTATCTGGAATTCATGCCAGCATTAGACAGAATTACAATGTGTTTAATTATATGAATAGGTGGAGGTGTAAAATGAGTAAAAGCTTTTGAGTTTTTTATACATCAGTATCAGATTATCTGTCCGTGTATAGCAAATCATCTTTTTTTATGGATGCTTTGTTTAAAATGACTCATTTTAGATACACGTCATTAAAATACTTTTCGTTTAAGATACAGTCCATTTGTCTGTTAATTAAAAAATAAATCTTTGTTTGGAAATTGTCTCCTCAAATCAACAGGTAGGTAGTTGTTATTTTACCCTAACTATATACTAGTACCTAATAGTAAAGTAACGTCCCATACCGGCTTAGCACGGGTGCAATACTGATACTTACCAAATATATCTCCACTATTTATTGGATATTAAGTAGGTACATAATCATCTTCCTGCCCTTGTCCCGTTTTATTTGGGGTCGGCGCAATATGTTTTTTTCTTCCATTCTGTCCTGTCACCAGTCACGCTATCGCTAACTCTTCTGTCTTCCGTATCACTTCTCACACAATCCATCCATATTTTCTTTGGTCTCCCTCTCATCCATCCACATTTATACTCATGGCTTTTTTGTAACATGCATTTCATCCCTCCTTTTCACATGGCCATACCAAGACAATAAATATAAAAAAAAAACCGCATTAAAATCCGTACATTGCGTAACTAGTTTTAAAGATTTAAGTGTAGTATAAAGAAAGCCACTTTATTTTATACTATAAAAGAATCTTAGCCTTAGAACGGTTTCTATTATTACTGAAATTAAGTGTGGAAGAGACATAGTTCGGCACGAATGTCTCGGCTCGACTGGAGTGATACCAAGGCCTCACAGAAAACCGGCGTGAAACAAACACAGCGTTGTGTTTCGCCGTGTGAGTGAGCCATAAAGTGGGGTTACTGGAGGCCCAATCCCAAAATCTCCGTTACCCTGATCCACACTCGGGTCGGTAACGCACTCGTAACTCCTTCGTTGTTGTGGGTATCCATGGGCGGCTTTAATGGCTTACAATCAGGTAACCTAATGCTTTTGCTCGTTTACCGACCTAGCAAATAAAATAAAAGGGCCAAGTCGCCCAGAGTGCTTCGATATTTTGCAATTCTAGTGTATTACCTACGTGTTATAAGTTACAAAGAGTCAATTGAATTACTTTACTTCTTTTTCTAGGTCGACATATAATCCTATGCCTCATTCTACTTCTGAAGACCTGTTCCTGTTTATACGAAGTGTGCGATAGACGACCTCTAGGCACGAACACGGATCCCTTGCCTCCTGACAACCGTTTCCTGATTGATGTCTATGGTATACGAGACAATATGTACATACCGAAAGAAGAATATTCGGGTATGTAACGAGTGTAAAAATTAATAGGTAAATCAATAAACTGCAAATGTTTCTATAACGAAACAATAGAAAAGTGAATACTAAGTATAAACTGCACGGTTGATGCGGTGGCTGGGGACTGCCAGTGAGCAGTGAGCATCCGGCTGCCATGCAATGCATCACTTGTTCGATTCCCGCACGGAACAATCTTTAATCCATGTGATTCACAAATTACTGTTCCGGGTCTACGCAAACGTCAGAATGCCAAATACTAGTTTGCGGCAACGTTTTTTATAAAAAAAATATCTTGTGTGGTGTTAGGCCTATCCATAATCTCTGTAGAGGGGGTCCAGGAAAAAAGGGTCCAGAATCCAGAAAAGGTCAAGGATGGATGATCCGTCTATTGCTGGATAGTTGCGGACCGTTAAAGATGATAATATTATAGGAACACCCCTGTCTATGTCTTTGTGGATTTACAGATGTCATGTTAATGTTTATTTTTCAGTTCGTCTATTTTCAAGGGACGGAGTGTCTTCCTTTATTGCGTTTACGATATCTATACGTGAAGACACAACGGAGAATAAGAATAACCCTAGGAAGCCAATCTTGCTAAGCCCGGGCAAATTGGAACCGCTGCCGAATTCAAACAACACCAAAGTTCTGACTACTTGCAATAATACTGTTATACAATCTGATATTACACCGAAAACCTATGTTGAGGTAAGGTATTTTTTTATAGGATTGGATGGCAAACAAGCCTGGAGATCACCTAATGGTAAATGAAGAGCACCGCCCCTGGACACTTTCAACACTGTGCAACACAGTGCTTTGCCAGTCTTCAGTAAGAGTGTTGTTCCATGCCGGTTTTCTGTGATCTCCAGTCGTACTTGTCTCAAAGTATGGCTCGTACTTTGTGTGGTAAAGTTTTAAATATAGGTATGTAAATTGTGTGTGTGTGGATAGGGTCTTTCCAACTCACAATTTATACATGTCATGAAGTATAGTAAAATACATTATCAATTCACTATCCCTTTTTGGGCCTATCCAAAGTACCGCCTATTGGCCAAAACTAATAATCGATCTTAGTCCAAAATCTCTGTTTTTGACAAGAAATCCTTACTTATGAGTAGGCAATGGAACCTGTTAAAGGTGCTAAACTGCATTTCAATAATATTGTTTTAGGCAAAATGGACAGCCCCAGAGAAGGACAATAAGTGCGTGACAGTTTTCGCCGTAGTAGCTGTGAGACCAGACGTGTGGTACAGCTTTGAAGGACCACTGTCTCAACGTATTTGTGAGGACCGACGAAAGGCTGATGATATGCAGCCTATGGAAAATTATAACTGCCAAGTTTGTGAGGACGCGAGGTATAAGGTATGAAAAGTTGCAATTTTCATTTTGAAAAGGTTTATTGTTAGCTTGTTGCAATTGAAGTGATGGATTCTGGAATTGTGGGTCCGATTCGTCACATATCGGCCCACAATTTTAGGTAGGCCCACTACATTAGATATTATTTGTATTTTATCATTGAAAAATAAGCTTCAAGTATTTTGTGCGCTTTTAAATTTGTAGATGTACATTTATCATAAAATTCTCATAGAGGCAGGAGCCTCACACCTCCTTAAACGCTTTTCCCATAAAAATAGTATCTAAATTAAACGCCTGTTTTATTTCCAACAGCTAATATTTGAAGGCATGTGGTCGTATAACACCCATCCTACGATGTACCCACCAGAGGATCTGGTAGCAAGATTTAGTGACGTGGTTGGTGCTTCTCATAGCAACGACTTCTCTCCCTTCAAGTATAACTCCGATGCTACTGACGGCCTGAAGCTTTTGGCTGAACAAGGAAACACTACCAATTTGGAGGTCGAAATATATCAACGGGTTAGTATCAGCAAAAGATCTACCTATGGTGTATAGGTCATTTTTATCTTTCTCTCTTCTAGAACCAACGAAAAATCGATTTGGAGATAGTGGTGGTATTTTAAAGGATAAAGAGTTCGTTCAGTTCTTACAATAGGCCCATACTTTGTTAAAATTTTGTTTCTATAATCCTGACACCTTTACCTAAATGATGACACAGTTAATATTTGAATTTTACATTCATATGTCGTTTTTATGTTCACAGCTAGGCACTGACGTCCGAACAGTAATAAAATCAAGAGCTCCACCAAGTACCAATATGAAGACCATATCAACCTTCAGAGCGAGTAGGAAGCACCACATGGTCTCCTTAGCAACAGCCATCGTGCCTTCTCCAGATTGGTTTCTTGGAGTGGCCAATTTGGAACTTTGTGATGCAAAAACACATGAATGGGCAGACAATGTCATCTTTAATTTGTATCCCATGGATGCGGGGACGGATAGTGGAAAGAAATTCGATGTAAGATATGTTATTAAGTTTAAGTACCTAGTACCTATTTCTTTATTCCAAGAAGACATCTAATTTTAGACCCGTTGTGGTATTAATTTCGGTGAATCTGGTATTGATATAATGATAACAATGTCCAATATTCTCTTTCTCTTTCCTACCAGGATTATTCATAAATTAGGCTTAGTTACCTACACTTGTCTTTCCAGTCCTCAAATGAAGCGACAGCGCCGCCCCAGCCAATTTCAACAGCAAAAATTGACGCGAATATTCCGAAGGAGCAATTGAAGCCGTTTGCAAGACTTGTGTTTCAATTGATACGGACTTATTACAATCCTAACTGCACGGAAGAAACGACTTTCACTGAAGAGACAGGTAAATTAGGAGCTTATGAAATGATGACAGAAAAGGTGACGCTCAAGAAGCACTAGCATAAGTACCTTGTTAAAAATCTTCTGCGGAAAACAATGCAGATGGGAGAATGGGGGAGATTTCTGAAAGCAATAAACATTTAACCTAAGTTTTGCGAATTGTTTTTAGGTGGTGAGGGCGAAAGCGGCGATAATACGGATGACGGATCAGACGAAGGTGAATATACAAACAGAGTGGACAACCGGCCATCTCCTCCAACTTCCACCACCAGGTAGCAATTTTTAGTACAAGAGCTCTATCTTCTACTACTTATATTTTTGCTTTCTTTCTTTTTTGGATGCCTAGAAAATGTTAGTAATGGAATTTTTACCCATTATTCATCACATTTGCCATAAATCGTCTACCTTAGCTATAGACACTCAACGACTTTCATATAAGCTGAGGAGGAATCGACCTGTTAGATTGAATTCAGCATCTCCCTTTTTAACCTGTCTGTTTTAATTTGTCTTCATGTCGTTTTTGACGAATCTTAGCGTTGTGTTTCGCTGTGTGAGTGAGGTTACCGGAGGCCCAATCCTTCCCCTCCCCCAATCCCTCCTCAATCTTTAAATCTCCAATTCCCTAATCCCTAATAGTTCGGCAACGCACTTGTAACTCCTCCGTTATGGGTGTCCATGGGCGGCGCTGAGTGCTTATCATCAGGTCAGCTCGTTTGCCGGCCTATAACATAAAACAAAAAAACATCTTATTCTAATTTAACTTTTTTACAGCGAGGAGCCACCGTCGATAGATCCTGAATCATCGCCAGAATGTCCAATGACCCCTTGGGAAGACTGGCAAGAATGCGCCGGTGAATGTATCGATAATAAGTTGAACGGATATCAAATCCGATTCAGATATCATGTTGGGGTAAGTTGTGGTAAAAAGAAAGGTACCTACTATTCGCGTCACCAGAGGCGCTAACATAGTTCATGAACTGTTGACCAATAGAATATTTGCTAACATCAAAGCGTTAGTCAAGCTACTTTTTGTAAATGCAACTTCGAAGACCCACTTGTGTGAGACTCAGTTTTCCTTGTTTTTTTTGATGTAGGTAAGTATGTATGTGTGATGAGTTTTTTAACCTAAGTTTTTCGCAGGATCCATCGCCCGAATGTTTAAAAATGCCTCTCACTGACATGCAAAATTGTGAAGAAGAATGCGAGGAAGAGGCAGCAGAAGGTGAAGAAGAGGAAGAGGAAGAAGAAGAAGAAGAAGAATAGTTTTTTAATTAGTACCTAAATAAGTAGTGAGAGTAAATGTGTATGATTTTTTTCCTCTTCCACAAAGACTGTCAATTACTCGCCCATACAGATTTAAATATTAGGAAATAAAATATTTTTGCCTTAACTCTCATACTTCTTTTATTCCTTTTTGAAAATGTACCTGTTTTATAATTTAAACTAACTTCCACCCGCGACTTCACTCCCGTCATTTGACTACCTACACCACCCAACGTATTTACCTACCTACGCCTCACTCTATACCGTCTGCCCTACCTACCTACCCTACGGTACATACTCTACTCTACCTACCCCACATTACTTACCCTTCCGTACCTACCCTATACTAACTACCCTACCTACCCTATACTAACTACCCTAAACTAACTACCCTACCTACCCTACACTAACTACCCTACCTACCCTACCCCACCTACTGTTTCCTATGTCCTTCTCCCAATTCTAAGCTAGCCCTCTACCAATTTTTAAGTTAAGATGTTTTAGAGTTACAATATTAGGTAAAAATAGTTACACACTAACACCCTTCCCCTTTTTAAATACTTAATTTCTGACGAACATTACAAAAATGTCAACATCCCCAATAAAATGTTATTGACATTCTTATATTGTAGTTGTGAATAACTCGATATTTTCCCGTCCTTTAATGGTCAACTTAATGACCCCACTCGTCTATCGAGTTTCTTAAAATCTACCTTGTAATATAGGTACTTACTGCATTATCATAATACCCAATAAATAACTAACAATCATTCGATTATTGCAGGCTTTTTTAGGGGACAAATCATCCAATTACTTAACCAATACACCCCGTTCGTTTTCCTGCACTGAGGTCTACGATACATCAATGCGCTTTTATCCGCCACCCGGCTGGAAATATTCTAGGCCTAGAAAGGCTATTAGGCTTCCACGATCACGGATAACAAAAATGTAAAATTGGCAAAAATATCAGTTTCTTTTTATAAGACTTTAAAGGAATCCAAACAAAAAGAATGAGTAATCAACAATGTTACATTCTTCGAAACTTCGATATCTGAATGTTTCCGAACGCATTTTTCCTTACGTCATCGAATGAGAGACGTTCGTGATTCAATGGAGTGAGTTAGTTAGAGTGAATTTTCAATCAGAAGATTTTTTGTAATCAGGGATTATAATTCGAGTTATATCTTTTTTATTATGCTTACAAAGTCTCCAAAACCTGCCTATAAACGGTACATAACTTGGGGCTTAAAAACTGCATTGTTAATTGAAGGAGTTGGACTCGCCGCATCGTACGGTCTTTGGTACAAGTTGAACACCGAGAGAGGTGAGTTTTATTTCGTTTATTTTTTTATATTTAATCTATTAAGAAATACATAAACAACTCAGACAAAGGCATTTGTTTTTTCATGATCACATTTAGATCTCATGATGCGACAAATTTTAGTTTTGACGTCTAAAAACTGATTAATGTCAACATGTGCAGTACTATGAGATTTTTGCTCTCGGGTTAATTAGATAGATAACATCAAATACTATCGGATCCGTTTAAGTATTACAAAAGCATTGAAATTGTTGTTAACAATAGCAAAAACTTGTAACATATACTTTTCTTTTATTGTTAAATTTTCGTTGGACTGTATGGCTCCAATTTAGTAACTGACCAAGCCCCCTATAATTCCAGATTTCCGTCTGTACATGTATCGAAACCACAACTGGATATTAGAAGGTTATTACGGACTTGGTGAGGCAATTGCTGAAAACAAAATCCGTGATCTTGATCAGGCAATTTGGAGAAACGAAGGCAAAATTTAAATAAGTGGTGAGATGTCTGTTGCTATTAGAGCCACATTTTGGGTGGTGTCGTTTGGAACCCTTGGTTACGCACTATTCAAGTTGGTCAAACCTAATGATGAACTTCTTAAGCAGGTCATTATTGAATTCAGTATTCGTTTATGTTGATTGTGGTTACTGATTACTAGAAATAATCTTATATGGTTTTGTGGGACTAATATCTGCATGTGTTTTCAAATTGTGATTGTACCTTTGGGGCTTGTGAAGTTTATGATTCCATAAACTTAAATTTACATTTATAGAATTCAAGTAAAAAATTATTACTTTAGTTTCTGAATCAGTTGTTTTGTGACTAACACTTACAAAATGACAACAATTTTCGTTACATTGATCATAATTCATTTGGAAATTGGATACTTAGTACACTACAGCATACTCATTAAGTTTGATCCATTAGTGTTCACCCCTACAGTCATTTCAATAATTTCAAATGTATAACATTGCTACACACAAGAAATGGATTTTGTTTCTCAGTATTTGTGTCAAGTGTTTGCCTCTCACATCTCGCTTGGCATTTATTCTTATCTATTCAGCTAACAAAATTCTGCTTCTCATGTTAAGTTCTTCTTTGTTGTAGTTTGACGAAGGCTCTAAATACACCGACGCCAGAAGAGTTAGTCATCAAACAGTTAGTGTTTTAAAAGAAGCTACAAACCCAGATTCGGAACTTAATAAAGTAATAGAAGATTTATTAAAGAAAGGAAAATGAGTGACAGAAATTCTGTTTTAGAAAGGTTAAGTAGGAGAGATGCACAACGTTTAGAAAAACTGCAAAAGGCTCATAAAGCAAGGGAAGAAGTAGATGCTTGCGATGAAAATGAAGACTATTTTTCAACCTCATTTAAAATCAAATCTGAATACATTGAAGACTTACTCATGCAAGTTCCAACTTTAGAATTAAATGTATTGCCCTCCCACTTTGATAGCATAAAAAGAGAAGTAAACGAATTACAAAAATATGTTGTGACATCATCATTCTTCTTGAAGGAATTCAACATGCGTAAATATTTGGGTATTGTACAGAATCTGCAAACAAAATGCTATGAATTAGAAGAAAGGTATGTTCCCAGAAAAAAGTTTGGATTCTCTAAGAAAAAGATTCCTAAGTCTCATACTCAGAAACAAGACTCACTCGACGAGAATGACGCAGCTAGAAAGACAGACAATAAATGGGATGAAAAACTCTTTGGTTTTGATTCACAAAAAGACAAAGTTCTAATACTTGATAATGATGATTTGTTTCAAAGGGATGTTGCTTTACGGAATCTTACAAACTGTACTGTAGGACTCAAGGGAGTGATGGGAACATTGCATTTAACTAATCTAGAAAACTGTATAGTACTTTCTGGTCCGGTCACTTCATCTGTGTTTATGGAGAAATGCATCAACTGTAAAATTGTAACTGCATGCCAGCAACTAAGAATGCACTCGTCTAGCAATTGCGACATTTATTTACATGTTACTAGCAAGGGAATAGTTGAAGATTGCACAGCCATATGTACTGCTCCATACAATTTGTATTATGATGATTTAGAAAAGCATTTCAATATGTCTGCTTTGGACCGGAATTCCAATAACTGGGATCGTTTGGATGATTTTAACTGGCTGGCTCCAGATATACCATCTCCTAATTGGTCAGTTTTGAACACAGAGTTGCGCATTAACAGTTGGGATGAGTGGTGGTCAAGGATTCCTTCCTAATAGTTTAGAGCTGTTTATATAAATTCACAGTGTTATATGAAGCTATACATAACCCATTATTGTAACATCTAATTTAGTTACAGAAACTAATTTCTATGAGAAAGCAGATTTACATAATATTTTCTACTTCATTGATATTTGTTAACTAATTTGTTGAAAAGTTAAACATGTGGAATTTTATGAACAATTCTTGGTTGAATGATAATAATTGAAGTGGACAAATATTCAATAAGTAAAACAGCTTCACAGAAACTTGATGATTTTTGTTCAGAAGACAAATAGCTAGGAATAATAGGAAGCAATTATGTATACTTTCTACAAACAGAAGTGGCCTTGCCTTAGCATTCTGATAAATTTTGAGTCCATTTTTGAGGGAAGGATGATACTTGTTCCATAATGATGTAGGTAATTCGCTTTAAAAGTTGAGAAAAGAAACTTATGGCTGAAATAAACATATTATTATGTTTTACAACCCTCATAGCATTTAATAACATTCAATAATGAATACCCGGCCAGGCATTCTATCTTCCCTTTGACTTTAGCTCATAGAAAAATAAAAACTTGTAATTTTTCTAATATTGAAAGTTTAAAGTTAGTTATAATTATTATGTCAACCACAAATTAAGTTAGGCATTTATCTGCTTATTTAATTCACTTATAATAATTTATGAAATAAATAACTTTATTATTAGAATTAATGACTTTTATTTCAACTAATCCCTGTAAATGTTGTGCTTCATAATACTATCTTCTTAGTCATAATAACTTGACCTGGAACAAAATGTTCAATGAGATTACAACATTATACCTTAGATAAACTACATGTAGGAAGTGAACTCCAAATTAATTATTGACGACATCTATAAATTCTTTCTGAGGGCTCTAGTCGACTATTGCAAAATCTAGAAAGTTAACACAACGGCTGTCTCCAACGAGTGCCGCGTTCGCTGTTTATCATAGCTGGTAGAGGCCCTTTGAGAAGTGACTTGAGGTGCAATAACGCCTCAATTTTGACGTAGATGCTTACTACACACGGATGGTTCGTTATTTGATGGTTTCCTCTCTCAACAAAGTCCAGTTTTTAACTAGACTAACGGCACAAATTAAAGCAGTTAAGTAAAAGAATTTAAGAAGGAGGGGTAGATATTTGTTTATTTATGTAAAATTATGTGTATATGGGGTGACTGGTAATTAGTACTAATTAGTGACCGATATATTTTAAACACGTGATTGTACTCATGATAACAAACAACTTTCCCAAAAGAAAATATTTTTCTATACCTACTTATTAATTTTATTTTATTGCTACTTATAAAAAACTTAGCGCGCCCGCCGTGCACGGCCCGATCAGCTGTAAGCTGCGAAGCCGTACCCTATATCGTTAGAATAGTAAATTCATCCATTCAGGTTGTTCAGGAACCAGAATACCACAGACACGTCAAACTTATAACACCTCTTTTGTTCTGTCGGGGGTTAATAAAAATTTGGGAAAATTATTTGTTATCATGAGAACAATCACGCGTTTAAAGAACGGGCACTAATTACCTCTGTAGGACGCTGCAGAAAAAATCTAGTAAGGAGCATACCGGGTAGGTATGCTCCTTACTAGATTTTTAAAGAAAGTCACTTACCATTGCTACAAGTCTTCACAAAAGAAAATTGGAAAAAGAAATTAAAGACAAAGTAACAATAAATAATAATTTATTAACTACAATGGAAAATACATAAAAAAACTGTCAAGTATTTATAATCACAGTAATTTTGCAAACTGATTCAATCTTTACAAGGCCTTAGGATTAAATGGGTATTTTTACTGTAGTGGCAACATTTTTACACTTCAAAAATAAGTGGTAATACAGCACTCACTTTCTTTTTTATTTATATATATTTTTTATTTCATAATTCCTGGAATAACGCTTTAGAATACCTATTTACAAGTTATATTAAGTAATATATTATATAAAAATATGTCCTTACATACATACAAGGTGATGGTTTAAGTATAAAATGCATTATAGCCATCATAAAATCGACTAAAATGGCATTTATTTATTAAGAAAAGAAATCACTTCAATTCAGCAATCATAAGTAGAACATTAACTATATTATTTAGGTTATATTTTTGCTTTTTTATTTTAAGACTTCAACAAAACTCGAGTGGGTTCCATTTCATCATGTATGAATTCCACAATATTTCTTAAACGAATGGTGAATAAAACCCATTTTTAAAATAAGAAGTAAAAAATAAAATATGACACTAATAAATTCATAATTTCATTATAAACTTAGCAATAATAAATAATTATATATAAACATATGTATTTTTATATTTAGTGCTTGAAACTTAAATGAACAGATAAGAAATATAAGTAAAAAATAAACTTCTTTCTTCGAGCCTTTTCCCACTAAGTTGGGTTCGGCGACTCTTTACACTCAGAATCACTCAAATTTATTCCATAGTAAAATATCAAAGTATGTCAACCTGAAAATATAGGGGTGTAATTGGGATAATGCGTTTGTTTTAATTCGGAAATTTAAAAATGGAGCGTTCGATCCAATATTCTACATTCAAACTAAGTACACACGTCTTAACACTAAAATATATTAGTTATTTGAAAAGAAAAAGTTTATTTATACGTAACACGAATAATTTACAAAAACTACAATTTTCGCCTACGATCATGTTGCATTTTACGCTTAAAATAGATCTTAGAATTTATTTTACTCGCCCCAATGCCATTTTTGAAGGTGCTTACAATTTTTTTTTCATAATGCCTTGTACATATCAGTCCTTACTATATTTTATGTTTTTTTATATTAGATAATAAGCCAAATATGTTTAAAATTATAATATTATTGTTAAGCGCCATGGGGGTCACCGGTGACCTCCATTAGCGGAGGATTTGCCTTCAACAGTTTTCTGTCGGCAGTCAAAGGCTTAAGAAGTTTTTATTATTATTTTGTAGCTTTAATCCATTAAACTAGCTAAAACCTTTTTATGTAAATCGAAGTGTGATGTTTCAAATTTGAAAGATACTTAATGTCCGACCTATTCTCTTTTATACTGAGTCTTTTACAATTTTGTCAATTGCAAATTTAGGAAGACATCAATTTAATCAGAATCTCATATAGTAGACATCAAACCAACAAATTACAAAACGGATTATTTCGCTTTTGTCATGCAAAAGAGATTCTCAAGAAATACATTTGCACTACCTTTTAAAATATATTAATCCTGTGAACTCTTTGCTATGCTTTAAAGAAAATTCGCTTACACTGAAAACGTCTCAGAAGAATTTATGAACAAGGAATGTTTCATATTTTAAGTACATAAGATTATGTTACAATATTTAAAATTAACTCCCACAAGACAGACAATGAGACAATACAGATAAAATACATATACATCATAATTAATTACGTTTGCGGAAAAATAGGGAATATTTAACAGACAATCAGTCTTTTTAGAACATTTGTAAGTATTTGTTAATTGATTAGAAAACTGTGCCATGGCGGCGCTGTAATCGTTTTTGGACGAGATGGTTCAAAAGAAATTGAAAAGAACTTTGATTCTGAAAGGCTTGTCAACGCTAAAATTAACTAATCTCCTGTTAAATCTCTTGTCAAGTCATCTGATTGGTTGTTGATAATTCAGTCAACCAATCAGATGACTCGACCAGAGATTAAATTGGTTTTAACATTGATCGGCTTTCGGAAACCGGGGGTTAACTTTTAAAACAACCTCTTTTTTATTTCTGTTGAACTATAGTTAAGTAAAGATTTACAAATTTAAGGTAAAATTATTATAATTTTTTGTGTTAGGACTGTTAAAATATTTCCTATTTAAACGCGTATTTTACAAAACGGGTGCCAAAATGTTATGTATTACAATATTTATCCAGACAGTTGAACCACATTCGGCGACCTAGTCTGATGTTGTGGACGCACTACGACTATAATTATCTCAAAATAATTTAATCGCTATTTATATAGAACTTTTACATCCCATATTTCCTGTTCGAAAAAACCTTTATCTTGCAATTTTGGGATAAATTACCCCACCGTAGTGCGTGCTTTACCTTACACGTAATGGCAGAATTACAGTCACAGACGTTAATGTCGCGTCTAAATCGATTGACTATGCTTTGAAAATTTAATTAAACGGCTTTGTAAATTAATCGTTATAATATGAAATCGATTTGCGTCATATCATGTTATTCAACTATGTTCTATCTAATATGGTGCTCAAAGCTAATCAGTGGTGTTTAAGTGAGTTTTTAAATTACATTTTAGCTTTTGTAATTGTGGAGATAAGGGGTCAAGTGATACATATGCAACATAGTTTTTAGTTCGGCAATATTATGGCGTATAAGGTATTATTTTCAACGTCGAAAAAGGCAATTTAAGACGATTTTGTGTTTTTCTAATTATGTCTACAGATTATAAGGAAAAATTTGTAGATTTTGGAATTCAAATTCTTAGCTGGAAAGGTTAACATTATGAAAATATTATGCACGTAAATTAATCATAATCCCATAGAACAGTAAAATCAATGACAAAATATGATCCTTTGTATAAAGCAAGACTGGTTACGTTGTTAAGTAGCTGCCAACGTTATAAAAAAAGATAATAAGGTATGTATATTTAGTAACTTTGGAAGTCTCAAAACAAGAACCAATGTTACATTGAACTAACTACTACATTAACAAAGAAACGATACTAATTCTCGCTTTTTTCTTTAATGGGGCGAAAACGGTCACTTTTTTTTCTAACACTCAATTATCCAAAAAAGCCAAATGTCAAAGCAGCAACGATGTTCATATGCCCGATTCGATGTTAAAAGGAAGGTTACAAAAAGGTCCAAAAGCGACAGTGGCGCCACTGCAAATTATGCATAAATACTGTTTCGCATCGATTCAAACGCGACACAACGTTCTATATTTAAATTACTACACTGAAAACTTATTGTTAGGTCTAATGCTTATAATTATGAATTGGTTAATCTCACCAGTTGGGTTTGTTATGTGCGATGGTCCATTTCTGATAGGTGTTGTTAGGGTCACACGGTACTAGGCCTAGTTGCCGAGAGTTCGGTTGTAACGTGAGGCAGTAGCCATGGAGACGATGGATGAGGTGGTTCTTTTCTTCGTCGTAACTGTAAATTAGGAGATTTTTATCAAGTTAGGCGAAATTGGATGGAGGAGGTAGTCATAGGATAAGTGTTTCATTTGCAAAGATAGTCATTTATCTTACTTTACCCTTACTCACCGTCCGTAGACCGTGGCCAGAGATCGATACCCGAACCTCTGTCTAACCCTGAGGACTAAAAAGATTCTACCAGTCTACCCTTGAGGCGTAAAGTCATGTAATTGTGGCTTAAGCGTGTTTCCTCAAAGATACGTATTTTTTGTGAGGGCGGAATCATCCAGTGTCTTTATTCTTCTGTGACAAAAGTGACAGACAGTTACAGACTAAAAACATTATTTTACCTACATTTCTTGTTCCGAGACGGACATAATCATTGCGATTGCTTACAACCCCGGGAAAGGATAAATTGATGGGCAACACGAATGGGCTGACTCGACCGGAGCCGGCCGGACCAAAGCGCTGTGTTTAGCTGTGTGAGTGAGGTTCCCGGAGGCCCAATCCTTCCCCTCCCCTAATTCTTAAACCTCCAAAAGGTCGGCAATGCACTCGTAACTCCTCCGTTGCGGGTGGCCATGGGCGGCGTTGATTGCTCACCATCAGGTAACCCGCCTACTCTTTTGCCGTCCTATCACATTTTTGAAGTGATATAGGTCACTCACCTCCAAGGTCCATCAACAGTGCCGAGCCTGCAGAAGGCTTGCTTCACACTGTCTACATCAGCTTCGACGCACCGTTCTCCCACGCCGAGCTGACCGGCCTCGTTCAGACGGAACAGCTGACTGTTGCCAGAGCCATGGCATGAAGCCGTACCTGGAAACGAGAAGTAGTTGGTCACATATCATCAGTCTACAAGTGCCCATTGCTGCACAAAGGCCTTTTCCCAAACGGGGAAGGTTTGAGCATTACACACCACGCTTGCTCATGGCGGATTGGCGGTTTTCACCGTATTCGTGGTCGTCTAACCCTCATGTATGAGAAGCCTTAACCTCTGGGACACCACAACCTTATACAAATAAAGGCATATAAAAAAGATTCAAAGCCCTCAACAGATTACAATAAATAACTTTTCTATTTATTTATTTTCACTCGATTTCATACTTTAGTTATAAAATAAAGCAAATGCTACTTTCATAATCGTAAAACGCTACTTTTTAAGGAAAATAAATAACAAAGAACTAAAACATACAAACACTACGACACTTGAACAAAACTGTATGGGTTTTGTTCAATTAATTTCAATTAATGCACCTGTGTACACATTTCCATTAAATAAGCATTATAATATTTTCTTATTATTACGCGGTAAGTTTGTACGGAGGAAATATAGTATAAGGAATAATAAACCCACTTACCTATATATGCTGGAGCTCCCTTGCCCATAGTGTCAAGACAGACTCCGGTGGCCTTGTTCTTCACCATACCCCAGTGAATGTTCTTCGGCAGCTTAGGGAACTTGTCGTAAACATCATAAGCGACATTCTCCATGAACCAACCGAAGCTCTTACACTTCAAACGATCCTTTAAAGCAAGCTGCTCACTAATATCACCCATGTCCAAGAAACGTGCCATCGGCTCCCTAGTATAGAAGTACTCCTTGTGTTCCTCGTCGAACCAAGTCTCAATAACTCTCTTATAATTAATTGTGATAAGGGATCCCTTCCTATTCTTGGCAAGGTTTCCGAATGAGTAAGGCATAAACGCCCTGTATACGTGACCAACCCTTGAACACGGCACCCATTCAATACTACCACCGCACTGCCAGATTTTGAAACTCAGTTCAAAGTTTTCTCCTCCCCAAACTAAAAGACCAGGGTCATATGCCCCTATTTCAAGGAAATATCTTCTGTTGATTGCAAAAAGACCTCCAGCGTGTGTTGGACTCTTGTAAGGTTCAGATTTGTGTTTGTGTTGACTCGCTTCTCTTTCTGGAACCTCATTTTCTTTGTAGAGCATACCCCATTCGAAGATACCTCTGTAGTTCATGCCGTGTTGGTAGACAGGTCTGTATTCAAAGGTTCTATGGTCCACACCGTCGATAACTGGGACTGTCATGATTCTATAGTCTCTGTAAATAGGAGCTAGGAGAGGTGGTAACCAGTTGAGGTTCACTTCGCAGTGAGCGTCTAAGAATACAATGACTTCGCCAGTCGCCTCTTGGGCACCCCTTGATCGTGTTCGAATCAAACCTTCCCGCTGTGTGTTCCTTATTAATCGAACTTTGCCCTTCCATCTCTTTATATAGTTGTCTAAATTTGATTTTAAGTTCTCTTTGTCAGAGAAATCGTCCACCTGGAAACAGAAAAAAAAATGACGATGAGAGATTGAGAGGCCGTTCCTGCGAGTAATATGGCATTTAAAGGAATTAAAACCTTTTTATGGGACTTGGTGTCTCTTACAGATTCTGAAGGTTATCACAGAAGTGGGTTTGGTCAGGTAAAAAGTCCTAAACTTCCTAGTTTTTTTTTTCAAACATGAAGGCCGATTTCGGCCGTTTAGGTAAATAGTCTTTTGTGGATAACGATTTTGTTTCCAAAACTTGTTAACTATCAAATGACTCTGATTACGGCGGTTAGTTACATAAAATTCCTTAAACTGTACTTATATCTTAAGATGCAATCGTTTTATTACACGATAACGTAATAAGTACAGTTTCTTGTCACGAAAATAAGGAAGCGGAATATCTTAACATATAATTATTTATTATCTGTATCAAAGTTTGTAATTAAAATCGAGCCACTTAATACTGACACCGTCGCCATAATTAATGGCTGCGACTTATCCGAACTTATTTACAACTATGAACTGTGATTGCGATTGTTATGCAAAACTGAATTACAATGTTCCGATAAATGAACTTATGAACTGACCGATTTTTTCTGGTGTATTACGTGTATCGCTGTGTGAACTTTTCTATACTAATATTATAAAGAGGTAAAATTTGAAAATTTGTATGTAGGGGGTAATCCTCATCTTTGGAACCGCTGTTCGGATTGCCAAAATTCTTTCACTGGTAGATAGCTACAATGTTCTGAGTGGAGTGGACATGGAGCCAAGCAGCGGGTGAAACCGCGCGAGAGTAGCTAGTATCTTATAAAGGTGTAATATGAGACCTAAGTTGAATACTTTTAATAATAATATTATAACAAATGTTTGAATTTAAGATAATCATGATCCAAATTGTTCGCAATAGAGATTTAATCTATTCGCCCCAAGTCTACCAGCTAACAGTATTGCGAAAAAACTTTTACCTGACCTGTGAAGGCCATATTCAAGTAAGGATAAGGGTTAAAATTGCACATAGTAGAATCGAATGATTCGAGGACAAAAGTGCACCTCATTGAGTGGAGTTTAGGTTTTAATTTGCAATGAAAGATATTCATATTATATGTAAATTTTAAGCGTGGGAGATACATGTTACGGCATCAATAGGCCAACTCGACCCGAGTGATACAAGAGTCACTTTTATCCTTTTATCACTCCACGCCGGTTATTTTATGGAATTCATCAAAGGAGGTTTCATTGTGCTAGAATTATGCAGCAGAATAAAACCTCCTTTTGCGAAGTATGTTATAAGAGCTCATACAGTTCATTGAACCGCTTCGTTCAACAAGTGAAAGTACGTAATCCTTAAAAGTGGATCAAAATGGAACTTCTTATACGTATTACCTATATACAAAACCCGCCAGCATTGCAACAGTTAAGTATATATTTTCACGACCGAATACAACTGCCAATAGAGCGTAATCCCCGATAACACGGCATCTTCGAAATGTAATAAATTCACAATAAAAATGTAAAGTTGTTTAATAAAATATTGCATCAACGTTTCTACCGAATATCAATCATTCAACAGCTAGGATAGGACGGCAAAGGTGCGGTCTGATTACCTGATGGTAAGCAATTGGCGCCGCCTAGTGACACCCGCTACCCCCTACATTCAGGGATTGGGGAAGGTAAGAAGGATTAGGCCTCTAGTAACCTCACTCACACTCGTTTCAGATTGCAACATTTACAATTCGATAAAACGTTTAAATTAACTGTAGCTGCTGCGTGTGAAACGATAAATATTTCAACCGGTTCGACCGGAGTGTTTCCATGGCTTTACAGAAAACCGATGTAAAATTACCCAGCGTGTTTCGTCATGGGAAGAAGATGACCGGAGGCCCAATTTTTCCCTTATTTTCACTACCCCTTTAAGTATCTTTATGTTGATGATGCATATAGTCCAAGGTTGGAGTATCACGGGCTGTTTATAAGGGATAGTAGGTAGGCCCCGTTCAGATTACCTACCCTCCTGAATCCTCCCCCGACCATCTCCAATCACCAAACCTCAAATGCTTAAATAGCTAGGCAACTTCCAGCTATTTGGAATACCATAGTACCTTTTGTTCCAAGTGCGCGGACGGCTAAACTGATCCTGATAATTCTTTTTATGCAGTGTTTACTAAGATTAGAAGAAGGTTCTAATAAAAGGGACAATCGGCAACCGTAACAAAATGGCTGACTGAAAAGTATACAGTTTTATAGAGAAATCGTTTCTAGCTATGATCTCTGAAGCTGCAACGGAGTTACGAGTGCATTGCCGCCTTTTTGGGGATTAAGGTTTCGGATATTTAAGGGTTGGGGAAGGAGTCTAGCCAACTCATTTAAACCGTAGCTTGGCTCTTCCACACTTTAAATAAGTAGTAAAAAGGTAATAAAAAATACTCACCAATACAATTTCATGTAATATATTCGGCGGAGATCGATCTATGACGGAGTGTACGGTTCTCATGAGAACCGAGAATCCTTCATTGTGGAACACGATGATTACGGATGTGCTGGGCAGCTCTGTGGGGTAGTGCCAGTACTTGCACTCGTCCAGACGCGTGTCGGGAATCGATCTGAAGATAAAAGTTGGGTCAGAATTATGAATGCTCCGGACTGTCTATGGTCGTTAAGCCTTTGACTGCCGACAGAAAACTGTTGAAGGCAAATCCTCCGCTAACGGAGGTCACCGGTGACCCCCATGGCGCTTAACGTGTTAAGGTTACTTTTTTTTCGTTTTTTGAATAAATATTTAGTGTTATACTGTTCTCACATATTCGAACCAATTTATTTAAGTGATACGATTTAAAAAGTTCTTTCTCGTTCTTCTCCATTGGAATCTACACTGTGCAACGAGTAAATAGCTTCACTGAGAGGACTAACCGACAGACTGGACACTTTTTATCTTTAAGCTTTGTTTGACGTCCAAAAGTGTCAGTAAGGGTCTAATTGAAATAAATTATTTTGAGTTTGATTTTGAGGATATGTGGTTTATTGTAGTTTTCGGTATATGGAGACAAAAGGGGAACAGAATTGTTAAAAAAAAATACGGTTTGTTTTGAATGCAGTAACTATTAATTAATTGAAAAGAATCATAAGCACTTTACTTATTAAGGTTATGTACACAATCAGGTCTGTTTTATCTTTGCAAAGTCGGGTTGCTTAGTCAATTTTTTTTCTGGGATAGAAACTCGGATTATTTGATGGTAAGTAATCGGCGCCGCTCATGGACACCAGCAACACCGGAGAATTTACGAGTGCGTAATCATCCTATTGGGGTTTACGTTTTCGGATATTGTTTGGGGGAAAGTAAGAAGGTTTGGGTTATATATAATAAATATCACTTACTAATTTATCCCTTTTTGGGGGTGTAAAATTATTCAATGCCTTCTTCCGCCCCGAATGAGGCGAGAACCAAAGTCATACCATTATTAACTAAAGTTAACCAATTATTAAATTTCTCAAAAAAATAACTAATTTGCAACTAGCCACACGAACACGCTCGCATTTTCAGAGCGTTTATTAAGGTCATTAAGAGACGATTGTTATCTTGATCTTAATAGCAATTTGTTCCCAAAATTGATTAAACAATAATGTACGTTACACACAGTCGAGGTTGCGGGGTAAGCGCAATGAGGCACTGCGACCTCGGCCTAGAGCAGGAGAAGAAACCGGGGCGTTTTTAGTCAGCAAGAGTCTGACACTCTCTCTCGCCTCACTTGGACGGGACAAGTGATTTGACGATTTTACTCGGGTAAGTGGTTGAACCCGACCGTGATTTTAAAACGACATAATAAACTAGAAGCAGTAGTACTTACAATGCGAATGTTACGATTCTGCATCACATTCGAGCATTGGGTCATATTCGCGTGTGAGTGGTTTATAATTGATTGCTCTTTGATTGAACGAATTCAGTAGCGAACATTACTTTGATATGGAATGGCAGACAGATACGATGCCTACTATTTCATTATTATCTACACATCCTACTGTTTCGATTATACAACTGAATGCCTAGTAGGAGTTTACTTTACGATGATGCTATCGACATGTTTATGACGTTCAGCGTTTTCATTGGCCAGCACCAAGTTCACCAGCCAATCAGAGGGCTTATCGTTAATACGATCCGATCGCATTATAGTAAATCAAACTCGTACTTGGCGCTTTGATGCTAGTCGAACAGTAAAATAGTACCTTAAATATACGGTGGCCAGGTGACAATCCATAAGATTTGTTGATGTTTTAAGTAGCATAATAAAAAGCTTAGATACAGCACTGAGACTAGTTTTAAAAGGTTCTCACTAACCTGTTCATAGCAATATCGTTGGAAGCAGCTATATTCATGCCGTATTCACTCTCAGACTCTGCGATATCGTTGGCCCTGTCTTGTGGCATGTGGTAGGGCTTGCCTTCTTCACCAGGGCCCTTTACGACATGCAAGTCTCTCGGCTCGAAGTTGCCGAGTTCTGAAACAAGGATTAAAATGCTACATACTTTTTACATAAACTTAGTCGTAGTACTAATTTTTCTCATCCCTAGGGTGTTGTAAGAATGAAACTAAGATTAGACATTACATTTAATAAAGGTTGGAAAGCAGCGATTTCTGATCACCAGAGCTTTAAACTGACATTTTTAATTAGTTTTCACGTCGGTTGTCTGTGACTCCGGTCGAGCCAACCTATTGGTGCCGAAGCATGTCTCTTTTTCACTTATTTGTCTAGCAAATTTGGTGTAGACTATAGAGACTATGTAGTCCATAGAGACTGCCATTGCATTAAGAAAGGTGCCTATTACAAATTTACCGCTTTTAACTAGTTCTATCCTGTTTCTATGTAAGTGTCTTGACGAGGCTAGAACTCGTTAATTAACCTAAATGTTTCTTCAAGACAATAATGAAAATCTCGAGAACGTAAAACAAAACAGTCGGGTAAAAAGCAATGTATTAAAATAAATATAAAAGATAATTTATTCTAGTATTAGTCTACATTGAATGAAACCGGTTCCCTAGACTCTTGTACAATCTGTGGCCAGTTTTCGCTGTCCTAGACGGCATAGCGCAAAGTGAAAGAGACACTCTTCATTACGATTTCATATTTATATAGAAAATTAAAGGGTGCATTGCATTGAAACTTCCGTAAAAATGTCGCATTTTTTGAGATGTATTGAAGAAAAGCCTAACATTTATGCCACAAAGGTAAAGTTCGACGCAAGTTTCGAAGGCAGATTATACTCGTCGCTACTCAACGCTGGCAGTATAGTCGACAACATAACGTGAAATGAAGATAAAGAGGCCATTCAATAAAAAAAATTATTATGTCAAATAAGCCTGTGTTTTTAAGATATCAGAGTGCGTGTGTTTTCTCTCTGATTGGATTCGAATGTCATAAACGTGTCGATAGCTTAAGTAAAACAAACTCGCACTGCAGTCCAGGTTGCGGGGCAAACGCAATCAGGTACCGCGGCCTCGGTTTAGAGCAGGAGACAGAACAGTGTGGTTTTTAGTCAGAAAGAGACCGACACTCCCTCTCGCCTTCTTTTGCATATGCTGGTATTCCCGCCAAAAAGAACCCGCATTAGGCACTCTGATTGGCCTGCTCAAGGTTAAAACAACCAATCATAGGTTTTAAAACGCGGTAAACCTTAGATTGCGTTAATGTGAAAATAATTCGCATATGAAACTCAGTCAGTCAGTGACATTCAACATCCACATTACTGGTAACAAATTAAACAGTAATGTTTAAGGTCATTGAACTCATAATATCGTTGTTTCTATAACTTAAACATCTTGTATGCCTGGGTATAATGTTAAAAATCTACAATTAATATAACTTCAACATAGGATTTCTTTTTGTGAGGGGAAACTGACTTCTCCTGCCCAGGGCCGGGCGGGAGGGAGCGTCAGACTCTTTCTGACTAAAAACCCCCCTGTTCCTGCTCCTGCTTTGGGCCGAGGTCGCGGTGCCTAATTGCGCTTACCCCGCAACCCCGGCTAAACATCAGTGGTCTATTGGCTCTTTGAGGTGCGCACGGAATGCTACGCGCCGTACGCTCGGGTCTGGTTCTGCTCGGGCGGCGAATTGCCCTTACTCGCCGACCGCAGACCCGCGCTTACGGTGGCCGGAGATCGTCTCTTGATCCCCGACGCCCGTAGTGTCGCCTGTTGCGGCGGCTGGGGCGTGAGGAGGAGGATTGCTACCTTAAGCGGACCGCCTCTCTTTTTGAGAGCATAACTGCTTCACAGAAGGAGGAGACGGCGTTCTCGTTCCTCTCGCTCCGCACCTTGGTCTCAACTAAGGCTGGGCGCGAGAGGTCGCCGCCGCCGCCGATCACTTCCCTGAGGACACGGCGGTACTCAGCCCAGGCAGGGCATACCGCCACCGTATCCTCTAGGTGGTCCTCACAATGACGACACTAATTAATATATTGACATGTAAAAATAGACACCCTTAGAACTATTAAAAAGTTAAAAACTTTAAGTTAGTACAGTATTAATGGCTTTTAGACTTAGCTTTTTGTTGAAGCTTTAGAAACTTATTTTAAAAGTATCTTGTCTCTGTGTTTTTTAAGTGGGAAAATAGGTGAATCTTATTAAACATTCAGGCTGCATAGTGATAGTAAGCTCTCTCTTTTTACCTGCTCGGGTATTTTAATTTTATTCTGCCAATATGACTGGTCATTGTTGTGGTTGATTATAATAAGTAACTATGTATGTAATATAAATACATCCATAGATAATATTTTTTTTTAATAACAAGAAAAAGGATTTTCTAAAAAAAATTTTAAAGGTGAAAATCATATCAACCTTTTTCATTCCATGGAGGTTTGCTAACAAAACAAAGACTGATATGAAGGTAGTTGGCCACTTGTGTAAAGCGGGGGCAAGTCACTAGACAACAAATAAATATTTTGTTTTACCGAAGATGGATCAGTGAATCAATCTTATATTGAATAATAACAATAGTGTTTATAAAATTTTACATTCTTTTCACATACGCCACTTATAAGAAAGATCTTATAATGCTAAAGGAAATAGACATTGAACAATTTATTCATATAGAAATCAAATACATTAAGGAAAAAATATTAAAATAGCAAAAAGGAAGTTTTAATTACTTAGTTATATGAGACAGTACATTAAGATAAGGATCTGAGATTATAATTCTATGAATTACTATTGATTAGATTATAAAAACATAATATTGTTTTATATTTTAAGTATGTATATCATAACCATCTATCTAATACTGAAATATTTAATTTGAAATGTGATTACTATTAACTCTATTCACTTCAGGAATAAAAGCATATATTTTATGTTTTATAGCTACCACTTCTTCTCATAATACAAAAAAATATTAACTGTAAAATTACAACAGAAAGTTAATACAAATTTTGTGCGACAATAGTTTGCGACAGAGCTGTGAACATAACGATAGACGGTAATGAAACAGTCACAAAACATGAATTGACGTAACAAAAACATTGCGAGGTCTATGGAACCGATACCGACATGCCGGGGCCGCCGTTGGCCAACTAACAGTACTTACAATTATCACTTACAACTACCTAATAAATACGCAAATAAGTAAATAATTATGTTACCTGTCTTCAAAGTAGGATAAACGTTGCGATGTGATTTATAAAACGCAGACTGGGACTCCAAAATTAATTCACTTTCAGATTCAGAAGCATCGGTATCCGTGGACCACTTATGCAAAGCGAATAATAAAAGTAATAGAATTGCACATGCTCCTCCCATGCGGATGATCCGGCCTCTCCTCACATTTGTGATCCTCATTTTTTAAACTTATTTTAGTACATAACAAATAATTATTTAATAAAAATTAACTTGGACGTCCTGAGAAATCGTCGACAATCGACTCGCAGGTGACGTTTAGCGTTTAGTTGGTTGGTGACAAATTGACAACGTCAACACACTACGTTCCGAGCTACGTTTGGATTGAGGATGCACTTTTTTATAAAGTTAAATCATTGATCATTTAATAGTAAGCATTGACTAAAAAACAGAACCATTGTGTTATTTTTATTGATTAGAATCAAAACCAGAATGCCCTTATTTCAATGGATCAGTACCTTAGAACAGTAAAGAAATTTCTGAACGACACTGACAATTTTGACAGACAGTTCAATGTTTCAAATTGGCCGTTTGCTTGGCTTGTATTTTGAATTTAAATGAAAAGAGTTGTTATTTGTTTATCTTGTAACATATCAAAGGAAAAGCGCAAAATCGCATTGCTATTCATCTAATAATCATATACTTGAACAGGATATAACTTTTAACAAAGTGAATATCACTTATAAATGAGTGAATATTAAAAAGTGAAAAGAGTACCCAAAAACTAACAATGGAAAGAGGTACGTTTATGCTTACTAATATTACAGAGAAAAAAGGTTTGATTGTATGTTTCATATGATAAAATAGGCACTTCTTGTTTTTACTTTTTCTTGCCCCGGTGAGCATACCTTAGCTGTAAAATACGCGAGGCGCAGCTAATTATAAACAAGTATTATGCAGCATTTGATTTAATAAGTTTCGTCTTGTTTGTCCGGATTATAACTTCAATTATTAGGCCTGCTTTGTTAAAAAAAATATAACATAGTTATAATGGCACGCATTATTTGTGCACAAGCACACCATCAAAATAAATATTAAGGCAATCAATTCTTGTTAGAATTACAAGAACACTATAGTACCTATATGTTTACTTTAAAAAATTTAAAATTGCAGCTCAAGCTTTTATGGAGAACTTCATAGGCAACTGGAATGGAGATTTTCCAAACTATCCTCTAACAGCTGAGGATCTGAAGAAACCTCATGCTGTGATGGGAGCTCTTCTACAAGTACTTGATAGACTGGGTATTGATACAGATGTCGTTCTTGCTGTAAGTATGCTGCAGCATTGTTTTATGCCTTATTATTGTGACTATAAGATATTGTTTTATTTAAATGTTATGTGCCATGTTTTTCTTTTATCAATACAAAGAATTAAAGATTAAGGTTTAGTATAGTACAAAAATCATTACATTATTAAGTTGTTTTATATTTTTACTTTTTATAGTTTACTTTTTATCAAATCTTTGTGTGATCCACTAATTGTTGTTCCAATACTAAATGTCTCTCTATGTGTATGTGAAATTGTATGTTTGATAACACATCCATGATACAGGAGAAAATCCTAGAGAGGACTACTTTTTTTAAAAGAAAGATTAAATTATATTAGCTGAATGCAGTTATGCACTTATAGTTTATGACTGCATTCAGCATGTTCCAAAAACCAAATATTTCAGAAATATGTATAGCTTACAACTATGTTGTTACCGGTCTTGTTTTTTTTAACAAAAATAAATAAAAGTCTGTCTTTAGTAAAATAATAAAAATTAATTCCACAGCCTCCACCGAAAGAAGACCGCAACGAAAACACAATATACTATTGGGATCTGCTTCCCGTAATCAACATGACACGTGTGATCAACCACTTAGTGTCTGTAATGCCGCAAGTAGAGGCTACAATCAGTATCGTACACTTCCTACAACCGACAGCAACTACGTCACACTCCATTCTGTTGTTGCTGTTCAACCTGATGGTGTTCAATGAGGAAAAAATGAGGAATATTGCACCATATGAAGAAGAGTTGTTTGCAAAGACTGGTGAGGTTGGTATTGCACTTTTATTATTATTAGTTAAGTAGTACTATTGACCATCCGGATACACCTGTCTTAGTAAGGTCGAAGTAAAATTTTATCTTAATATATAACATTCCTGCCAACAGGCAACTTGATTCTATTGAAACATTGAGAATCAAGTTGTCTCTTAAAATTATTATTGTGATGTGAAAAAATGATAAAAGTATGAACACTAATAAGACTAGAATTAGTTTGAAAAACCAAAAAAAATATTTTTTATACTAGGTGCATAGATTCACAGCTGGTAGTCTGACATCTTCTTAAATAAATAGAGATAAAAAAAATCTCTTATATCAACCTTTATAAATATAGTTTACTTTATTTGTTTTCGACTTTTGGCAAACAAAGAAATGAACAAATTCTGCAGCTCTACAATATCATAAGTAGTACAGATTATTATGCTAATAATTACCCCTATTACCTACAGGTAAAAGCTTTGGAGGAAAAGAAGAACAGATTGCTGGAAATGCTGAATGAACAGGCTGAAGAAAAGGGAAAAAGAGCTGGAAGACTGGAAAAGGTAAAAACTTTCTTTTTTTCTTTCTTTCTTTTTTTTTTAAAAAACATTGCCCCACACTAGGATTTTCTCCTGTGTCGTGGGTGCGGTTACAAACATACAATTTCACATGCACATGACACCCAGACCCGGAACAACAATTTGTGGGTCACACAAAGACTTGTTCCGTGCGGGAATCGAACCCGCGACACGTTGTACGGCAGCCAGTTGCCCAGCCACCACACCAACCGTGCAGTCAAAACTAATATTATATAATTCTGTATTCTGGAATCAGACACCAACATCCTTTTTACAAATCCATAATTAATTAATTGTTTATTTAACCAGCTTGACCATGACATTAAAATGTTTGAAGAAGAATTAAAGCAAGAGAAAGAGATTCATGATGAAGAAAAATTAGAGTTGGAAGCTATACAGAAGGAGAATAAGCAGACTGAGATGATTATAGAACAAAAGAAAAGTCATAGGGATGCGCTGATGGCCGAAGTTGCCAGGAAAAGGGCTCTTAGGTACGTAGTAATAAGTGCTATTTTTGTCTGTGGCCAGTGCACAGAGGCGAGTGTTTTGGTCGGCCAAGCATTTAAATTACGATTCGTAAATTAATCTTAAATGATATATACTGTGTTACTTGCGCATCTTGCGCAAAAAGTTTGCGCTACTAACACTTTATGCGCTAACAATCTTATGATTGTAGTTTTCCATTAGATGTGTATGAAATATTTCGCCGTCCGCCAATCCCCAATCATAAAATCTCCAAATCTCTAATCGGAATAAGGTCGGCGAAGCACTCGTTACTCCTCCGTTTTTGCGGGTGTCCATGGGCGGCGTTGATTGCTTACCATGAGGTCTGGTTGCTTGCCGTTTAAGAACGAAATTTTCGTATAATACGAAAATTTCTTTTTTTCTTTCTTTTTTCATTAAAATGAAAAACGTAACCCCTACGATTTTCTCTTGTGTGTGTGTGCGCTAACAAACAAAGTATTTCACATATAAATTACACCCAGAGCTTTTTTTTCGGGAAGGGAAAATCATCAAATGACTTCTTCAGCCCAGGGCCGGGAGTGTCAGACTCTTACTGACTAAAAACCTCCCTGTTCCTTCTCCTGCTCTGGGCCGAGGTCGCGGTGCCTCATTGCGCTTACCCTGCAACCCCGGCTGAACATCAACGCAATAGGCCCCATCTGTGGTGGTCTATTGGCTCCTTGAGGCGCGCACGGAACGCTACGAGCTGGAACAGCAATCTATGGCTCACACAAAGAGTTGTTCCGTACTAGAATGGAATTCGCGACACGTTGCGCGGCAACCAGTTGCCCAGCCGCTTCGCTTTTCTTTGTGCGTTTTATTTAAATTACTTATAAGATTAATATTATTTCTTATTTATAAATTATGTAATTTTAGAGTATATGATGCCGATGACATCAAAGCTCAAGCAGAACAGGCCACGCAAAACCTTCAGGAGTTGGAGGAGAAACTGGATTCCCTTCGAGCTATATTGATGCAGAAGGAAAATAGCCTCAAAAACCTGCAGACCATCAAACCTAACCTGGACTCTGCAAATAATCTGTTGCATGAGATCATGAAGCTTTCTGATAGTTTGAAGTAAGTTTTACGTAATGTATAATTTTAGTTGTTAGGCTTAAATTGCGATGAATTGATTCTCTTGTGACTTAGAAAAGAGTCCCATTGTGTGTGTAGTAGAGCTTTTCAAAGCTAATGACTCACGATATTTATTATATAATGAACTAGCTTCCGCCCTGCAACTTTGCACGCGTATAAAAGTAACGTCCCATGGGTGGCGGTTCCCATGGGAATATTGCAATCCTGTTAACATAAAGTTTACTAAGGTGTCTGCATGCCAAATTTCTAGCGTCTAACTTGAGCGGTTTAGATTTTTTATACACAAGAATTTTCCCCCTAATACCCGTTCCCGAGGGAATTTCGGGAACTCCTTTCTTAGTGCACCTCTACGGTACCTAAGCTACGTCCCTTCCAAATTTCAAGTGTCTATGTTAAGCCATTTAGGCTGTGCGTTGATATGTCAGTCAGTTTCTTCCTTTTATATATTTAGATGTTTGAGTTTGTTATTGTATGTAGAATGCATTACAGTCACATCGAATTTCGCATCAAATACCCCATGTGCCCTATCGGTAGCAACTAAAATGTCTAGAACTCTAGATGTTAAAGTGTGGGTATTTTTTGAAGCTGTAGTGTCGAAACGTACAACCGAATAGTATAGGTATGCGGATAATACCAACATCACAAACGATGAAGAAAATAATTAAATTTAAATTCGAATTAGCAATAGATGGGTCCATTCACTATAATGATTGCTTTAAGTCCCTAATTTCTGTCAATCAATAATTATATCAATTTGCTTCCAGGGACTTTGAGAACGGCGACCTAGACACAGATAGTAAGGAGGGAGAGCTGGATGTCCTGAACACTGAGCTGGGAGAGTTACAGGCGCAGCTGTCGGAACTGCAGGCTGCGAGAGACGAGGCGGCGAGGAAGAGGGCAGAGAGTCAGGCCAAGAGGCAACAGGAGAGGACTGTAGCGCATAGGTTTGTATGCTTTTAACAAACAAAGTAAATAACAAGGAAAATTTATTAGTCAGAATGAAGTATAAACATATGTTTTATGTTAAAAAAAGGCGAACACATTCTACTGAATTGGTTTACAAATATTATGTATTAGCTAAACCTCCCCCCCCTGTTCCTTCTCCTGTGAAGGCCGCGGTGCCTTATTTTGCTAGTCCTACAACCCGGGCTAAACCATAATAAGATGACAAAAAAGACCCAAAAGTGGATTCCGTTAATGCACTGTGCCTTTTTGTCTTTTACAACTACTTAAAAAAGATTTGCGATCTTTTAATATATGGATGCATTGATATTTTTCGGGCGCTTTCCTTTTTATCTGATTGGCTCAATGGCTGCCATAACTTCTGTTGCCAGAATGATTTTCATTAGTTTTGCCAGTTAACTACCAAGCTTCTTTGGGAAATAACACCTTATTTACTGGCCAACGAGTAGTAGGATCACTTGATAGCAATCAATCAGCGTTGTCCGCAACACCAGAGATGTCATTGATCATCAAGTGTGTTGCACGGTGACGGAAAGAAAAAGGACTAGGCATATGGTAACTTTACGCAAACGACGAATGTAAAAGTTATTTCATGCTTGTTTTCATTAATACGGCCAAGTTGGAACATTCTTGCCAAAGCATGGCTTTCTTACACTTCAAAACAGGATGATAAAGACAGTGGCGTAGCTAGGGGGGCAAGGGCCCTGGTGCATAGGGAGAGAATCGGGCTCTCTTCCCCTCTTTCCGCGCAGTTTGAACTTATTGATATGAAAATGATTGATAGAAAATAAGAATAGGAAACAGTGGGTTGAATCATCCCTAGTAGGCTAAATCCATACGTCGTCTCTATCAAAATCTTCATGTGTTCAATGGAAGAAAAAGGGAGTAAATAAACAACGACGCACATAACAATATAGAATATTTATTAATTAAAAGAAAAAACGATTTTTAAGAGAATTCCCGGCCTAATTCGTCTATAATTTCACTCAATTCCAAGTTTGATGCCGCCTCATTTTCTATTGCAATCAACGATAAATGTCGGAGGGGATCTTGGCCAATGCTGTTGCTTAAATATTTTTTATAATCTTCAGTTTACTGAAAGATCTTTCTGCTGCCGCGGAAGTAACAGGAGTTGTGTGAAACAGTAGCATCGCTGTATACACTTCTGTAAGGTCACATTCGAGCACACCAAATTTCGTCATAATTTCTTTGCAAAGCTGGCGAATAGACCACGTCTCCATCAATTGAGGGAGGATCAGATGATATACATTAAGAAATTGGAGCGAAAAAGTGGGTCCAATTATATCACAATATTTCTTCTGAAACTGATCACATTTTTTGAGTAAAATCGTTTCATTCCAGCTGAGCAGATTTTTTGGAATCAGGAAGTCGAACTATCGAAAGTCGAAATATGTCCCGAAATCCAGTGCACCATGCATTTATTTGCGAAGCGAACAACCAACACGGTTGACAGTAGGCAGCATCCAGCATTTTGGAGTAACATATCCAAAAACGATCAACTGGACCGTATTGTGACGTAGAAACGTAATACGTTTCTGAAAAGCTCCTGTTGTCTTGGCGGGGGTCCTTCGGAAAAGGTCCCGGAGGTTTCAAAGGTCCCTTGTCAAGAATCAGACGTTTTTCGGTATCACTCAGTTTCTTGTTGATGTAATTTTCCAAGTCATTGAAATTTCGAGAACTTTGAAGATGTAGAAATTGATGATTCCTCTACCGAAACCGTTACCGTTGCACGGAAGCGTCGAGATAGTCATTTTCAGCAGGGGCATTGATGGTAGTATTTTGAACGATGACTTCGGCACGTTTGAACGATGTTTCGGCTGTTGAAGGAACTGTAGCAAAAAGCGATTTCGTAAAAAAGCTATCTAATTTGGTCATTTTTTTTTACTTTCTTCTCTTTCTTGTCGTTGTTTCCGCTTTGCGGCACCGCTACGTTCCTTTTTTCGTTCCATAATTTTTAATTGGTAACTATCGAAATTTTATCCGGAGTACTCACTGAGACCTATATGGCTTGTTAATGTTTAGTATAGATTATAGCAAGCTCAACAGAAAAGAACCATAAAACAGCTTGTATGGTAAAAATGTGGTAAAATCAATGTTAATTCATGAAGATATTATATCGTTTCTATAGTAGCTCGTTTGTCAATTTGGAATTGAGTTTAGGAAAACGTTGGTTATTTTTTACTGCCGATCAGGTTGAGAGCTATCATACATTATACGGTTAGCGTTGTGCTGCAACCTGTATCGTACATATCTTGTCATCGGATTTTTTTTTGCGAAAATGAGTTTTACCAGAATTTGGTGCCGGATGGATGGATGTACGGAATAGATATCATAACATTAGTGGTGATACTTGATGAAATAAGGCTGGTAGTAGGGAATTACGAAGTACAACAGTAACTGTCAGCGGCACACCTAGCATCAACTACTGTAGTACGTCCCAGACCCCAGAAAGTTGAAAAAATCGCCGGAAATATCATAAATAAGAACTGATGCAAGGCAAGAGCGAATGAAAACTTCATTAACAAGTTGATGGGCGGAATTTGTGAATTGATCTCACGACCGTCATTTTTCATTTTTTTCAAAGCTAAGGCTAGAGGGCCCCCTGAACTCGAGGGCCCTGGTGCACGGCACCACCTGGCCCTATGGTAGCTACGCCACTGGATAAAGAAGAAGAGTAATTACATGCACATAGCCGTCAATGTGCCAACGAACTCGTATTATGTGCTTCTAAGTAATACTATTACTAAATGTTATTTCATTCTACAGTTCGTTACGAGAGGCTGAAGAAAAAGACAAGAAGCTTCGAGAACGATCAAAGAAGGCGCTGCAAAGGACAGAGGAAATCAAAGAGTTGACGACTAAATATGAAAATGAGAAGACAGCTGGCATTGAACAGTTGGCGACGATTAAGAACAACTTCTGTTCTGAGGTAAGCATTTTCTTTTATATCATTTGTTAGAGCAATCCAATAAATTTTAAATGTTTTGTTTGCCATTTATTCTATATTGTATGATAATAAGATTACCAACTTTTTTTAAACTAGTTGTAATTGCTTACCTACATAAAGTTTATTTTGAATTGTCGTCTATATTTTCGGTATGAAGTCTTACACTTAAATTTTGTATATGCATTTATAAATATGCAATTACTAACATAAACACACACTCAAACTTGGAATGATGTGATTTAAAAATGAATACTATGACACTTAATTAAAGTAGAATTTTGTCTAAACTTCAAACTTCTAGTTTTTTGTGAATTTTTAAGCTGAAAAACGAATACTTTTGGGCTATCGAACACTTTTGGGTTTTTTGTATAACTTACATGTTATTTTTATTACAGCTTAAATCCATGGAAGAATTATTATTAAAGAAGGTCGTGGAAGCCGAGAAGAAAGTGGAAGAAAAGTTAAAGAATAGACATGTATAAGTTTACCTTTAAAAAATCTTATTTTATTTGTTATTGAAAATATCATTTAAGCTGCTTTATGAAGACAAAACTCATTCAGAAATCTGCTATAGGTACCTACTGAGTTATTTTGATTTCAAAGTCATTCTGGAAATTCATTACATTGAATAATATGTAACCATAAAGTCAGTATTCTTATTTATGTATATGTTTCATAGACAAACTGGTTTTAAAAACATTGTTATCAGCCAGTGATTGTTTTATTTCAAAATAGTTTTAAATAAACTTTAGTCACTTATGTTCTGTTTGATTTATATTTAATTACATATTACATAATTTTTAAATTAAGAACTGCAAATAAAAACCAAACATTTAATAATATAGAGTAAGAAGTTTTATTTCAATAGATTATAGAAGAATGATTCTGTTCAATGCATAATGTTGGTCATTTATACAAAATTTTTATAGAGATATTAATTAGTAATACCGAGTTTTAAGCAGTCTTCATTCTAAATTGAGGAATAATTATAACTAGAACTTAGAAAAAATCATTATATGAAATTTGTATGGATAATTGTGACGTCATAATCGAGTGACAGAATTAGGTAATTTAATTTTAGATACTCGAATAGTATACAAGTGGAAACTTATTTAAACGTTACATGTATTTTAAAAGAAATAATTAGTTTGTTTTTTGTCTTTGGTGTGTTTGAAATGCATTGTTTCAGCAGTTGCTGATGTCAGGCAGGGTCTTGCCCTTGCAGTGGTTCTTCCATCCATACCAGGCATCGAACTTGTGTCGTTTGTAGATCTTCTTAGCGCATTGAGACGCAAGGGTGATGTCGTCCAACAGCATTTCTAGAAATAAATAAACAAATAAATGTTTGTAGGAATTAAATTATTGCAAGTGCAGTTCTAACTAAAATATTTAAATTAACGTTTAGTCATTTATGACGGAGTAAATATTATGGGGGGGATTGTGGGGCAAAAGGAAGTGTCAGACTCTCACTGACTACAAATTAACTCGCTCCTTCACTTGATTAGGTCTGGAGTCGCGGTACATTTTTTTATTTTATTTCGTAATGGTCAGGCATTTGGCCGCTATCACGCCTGGTGGTAAGCTATGATGCGACCTACGATGGAGCACGACCACCTATAAACAACCTACTTATTCACTCGGGCCTTGAAGACCCCAGTTTATGGCCTTCGGGTATTCCAGCAAAGTATTCCACTCTTTAGCGGTTCTGATTATAAAAACTGCATTACTTAGTGTGTTTGCATTACTTAGTAGGTCTTGTATGGCCAGGTGCTACTTACGTGCACAAGTGACGTTGCAGTCCTTGCCAGGAGTGCTAGTGTTGCTGCACCAGTACTTGTCGTTTATCTGGAACAGTCCATAGTCCCGGGACCCGTTCTTGTTCACGGTTCCCATCTTGTCCGTCTTCCTACCGCTCTCGTTCTCCACAAGGCACACCCCTAGATACAAAATAAGTATTTGTCATCAATAAATTATTTAGAAATAGAAATAGTAAATTAACAGGGAAAAGTATTAGGTACTTAATTATTTCGTATCCATATTGTCAATTTGCAGTTACTGCAGTTACAGCTACTTTATATCGGGCTATCCGTTAAATTTATATTAGGCGTGATAATGTTGACTATTGCTACTCAAATTCTGCGTTAGACAGGACTGCGTTATTCAATTTAAAGAATTGATAGGTATTACAAGAGAAATAATTTTGTAAAAAATGTACTTACAATCCCTCATCTTGTCTTCAGGGAATCCTTGCCTCCTCAGCTCTTGGACCAATCCGCATCGAGTAAAATGTTTTGCCTCGCAATGCAAGCAAAACGCCGCAAGCGCAACAACGAAAACCGTTAGCTTTTGCATGATTCCTTATTTAAATTTCAAACGACTTGTTCGTTCGAAGTCTAGACCTTGTCTGACGAAGATTCTTCCGTGGCTATTTATATAGTGAGTCTGCATATACGCTCGTGTGTATGTGTGTGTTGGGAACAGGGGATTCCATTTTATCTGTACAAAAACACTGCATAGGGTCATATTATAAGCGTTGAGAAATAAGTTGTTGCTACAAAGATGCAGATAGCAGCAAAATGATTTGTTTTGTAAACAATAATATTGACGTTGCAGGGGACTCGGGGAGTTGGGAATAACTTGTTACAATTAGCCGTTTTATGGAATGAAATTAAGAGTTAATGTAGATAACTAGATATCATAGACCTCTTACAATGGTAGATATCCATGGTGTTTGGTAGGTGATTTTTTTACATGAATATATACCTAAGTAATATCGTATGCCTACATTCTATGTACCTACTTATGTCAGTCACAGGAAGATAAGTAGGTACCTAAGCTTGAAAAGATTTTGCCAATCAACATATTAACTAGACCAATAGGTATTTGTTGGGGTTTGTCTGACTGCTCTAACTCCAAGAACTGCTAGGCAACTATTTAAAAGATTTTTGGGTATGATATAGTCCTTTATGCGAGATGAATGGGCTTTGACATCACATCACTTTTTTAAGACTTCTCCCGCCTTGGATGAGCCGAGAGGAAGTAAGGAATTACACAAGTAAGGTCGCCAGTAAGAACTAGATATTCAAAGTCAAAGTCAAAGTCAAAATCATTTATTCCAACTAAACCATAAATAGGTACTTTTGAAACGTCAAAATAGAAAAGTAGTCTGTCAGTCTGTTCGTCAGTGAAGCTAGGTGCTCATTCCAAATTATTGTAGATTCGAATGGAGAAGAACGAGCAAGAAACTCCATTCGTTACTCTTTTTTTTTATTTACAAACATAGGTACAAGTTATCTATTAATTGATATAAATATTATAATAATTAATATAAATATTATAAACGGTAAAATTTGTTAGTCTGTATGTAGGCGGTAATGTTTGGAACCGCTGGTCGTATTTCCAAAATTCTTTCACCAATACTGCCCGAGTACCTAATACCTGAGTGTGAGTGCTGTTCCCTATTAAAAATTACCCTACGACCAATAGGAGCCGAGCAGCGGGCGAAGCCGCGCGGCAGTAGCTAGTAATCTATAAATTCATGAAGACACAAAGCGATAAAGATTAATAAGATAAGCAGTAGATATAGATCGCAATTAATCATAAAAAGTGCATTAAAAAGCAGTGTAGATAAACCAAGATACTTAAACTCATCATTATTTCGCAACATGCTTGCTGATAAAGTTTATTAATCCTATAAGTATCTAAGTAAGTATATATATTTCTAAAGCAGTAAGTACACTATAATAAGTACATGAAACATACCTAATAATGCTGAGTAATGAATTTCTATTATTGTAAAATAGAGATAATAATCTTGAATGAGCAACCTACTTAACGTTTAAGATTTATTTTGATGGAATCGTCAAATTACCTACCCACACTGGGTGCGAGGAAAAGAACTATAAGACTTTAACTGGCTAAAATGCTAATCCGTTCTCGCTCCGTTACTTAATTAATACTGTTACTGCGTTTTGCCCCCTAAATCCAAAGGGGTATCGCAAGACCGGCCCGAGTGTGCCTAGTGAGTCTTGGGTCTAGAACTGATTGAACGGCCAGCAACCCTTTCTCGCTGTCTGCAGGCAGGTTACGGTGATCGAATATTGTCGACTCCCGACGACCAAAGAGTCTGAGTTCTTCTCTGGTAAGAGTAGATGTGGTTTGTGACCACAGTTAGGAATCCAAATAATCAGCAGTAGGTAGTTCATGACAGTACAAGGTAGGAGCGGACACCTCCTCTATACGTATCTACTTAATAGCGATTTGCTACAATTTCACATAATTGACAAACACGTTGGATAGATTGTCACAAGGAAGAGAAATGGACATGTTATGGGAATACAGCGGAATAAGACATACCAACCTTAAAAATATTGAGATATAGGATAAGGATCGAATGAACTAGACTTGCATACCTAATCAAACAATTTTATTACGTATCTATGGTTTTTTAGGTTATTAATTTAATTAGGTACCTACCAATTATTGCTTCTCTGGGTCACCTATCATGGGATGGTAAGCTATCAGTGCAGCGTTTTGCTTTGGTGAAATGGTGAGTCTCAAGTACCTAACCTTCGTCATACGGCTAAATGCAAGGTAAGCTTTGTTTCACTGCGGTTTTCTGTGAGGTCGTTTTGTCACTCCCACTCCCACGTGAAAATTTTCATAATGTGCTAAACAAACAATATTATGTAGGTACTTAGTACTTACTTACTTACACTTCTGAATTAAATAATACCTACTTAAATAAAAAGAAATAACTAAATAACTTTAAAGAAAAACGAGACGAGCGGTGAAAAATATTTCGTAATGGCGGGAAAAATTTATCAGTTTTCCTATGCGCGTGCATCGGCCATAGACTAAAAAAAGAGTTTTATTTTTTAGCCCTTCGCGGATAGCATTTTAGCGCAAATGTAAGCGTAACTGAACCAATAATTTAAAAAAAGCACTCACTTGTGAATTTGTAGTAATAAAAAGCCACAGTTTGTTTACAGGTGTCATTACGTGCCTAATTGCCGTGGGATTAGAGTCACTTTATATGGAAGTACGTTGAAAAAACATTTATTGAAAAATAAACTATACTTACTTATTAAATTTTAATGTAATATTCTTATCAAAAGTTACAAGAAACCCATTATTATTAATGATTATTATTAAATGAAGGTTTTTGTATTTGTTCCTAATCAAATCAATTCTTTTACTTGTGATTCACAGGTATTTATAATAATAATAATAATAATGCTGGTAGGGGTCTTGACCGTACTTCCGGGATTGCTCTGATAGCCGTGGGATGCCTCTCCTTCCCCAAGCAGCTCAACGTATGTTGCCTCCGTGTCGCTACATGCTAGCGGCCGTTTCCGGGGGCCCATTAATTGAGTTTGCCAGTCACCCCCTGCCTGTTTATCCGTATGTATCAATATTGGTCAGGGGCAGGGGCCATAGTATTTCCATAGTTTTCATCCACTAGTGCATAGCAACCCATACCCATAACCC